TATGTTTTCTGCTTTTTTCTGACCCTGAAAAATGGGTAACTTGTACTTAATGGCCTTTTTGCCTGGAAATTAAATTAATGAAGGGTGGCCTCTGACTTTTTTTTTAACACTATAGTTCCATAAGCTCTCTGCAAAAACTGGTTTGCTAACTGTTATGCACACCGTTAATCCAGACCTGTGCTTCTGTTGCTTAGAAATCTTTAGGCTCTTTGCCACTAGTGCTTCAAGATAATTGTTTTTGATGGAAGGTAAAAAACACATGCTTTTGAACATGACAATTGCAAGGCTATCGCTCCACTGAAGCTGAAAGTGTTTCAGGATTTTGTACTTCGCACTGTAATTATTGCTAGAATTTGATTTTGTGTGGATGCTGGCGGTACATCTGGTGCTATTGCCAAGTCCTCAAGGCCACCCAGCTGTCCTGCTGGCAAGTGATGCTGTTCTGATGGAGTGCTGCTGTCTCTTCACTCCCCCTCATCTCCTTGTAGGGCTCTGAACCCCACTATGTTTCTTCCTGCAGCACCCAGCTCTCATCTTGATACTGACTGCCATACTGTGATCAGTATTATCAATTTATTTTCAATTTGAAGAACGACTATGTATATACTATTGCAAGGACAATGTCATTAAAATATACAAAGTTCAAACACAATAACCATATATTACCTATCCATACATCAGTGCTAGCCGGCTCTGATTTTAGCCATTTCCTTGCTATTAGCCATTTTGCTTGCTGCTAGGAGGATTAGTATCAATTTTCTATCATGGTTGTCACACATTTTGAATAAAAATACTACCTGAATGTAGAGTACCAAGTTTGAAAGCCATGTCATCTCCAAAAATACCTTCTGAATATCTTGCCAGTAAGACAAAGGTGGCAAAGGCTGGTTTAACTCATAATAATAATTAATAATATATTATTTATTATTATAATAAGTGTCACTTTCATATAAAACATATAATATTCCAACAAATTCTCTTCAAATTAGCAATCTTCCCTAGTCCTAAAAATTAAAAACCTAAATAATTTTCCTCCCATTTCAGTATACAGTGCACTGACTGATTTTTACGTGGAGAACTAGGGAACTCTGTAGTTTTATCTGCTTTTAGAATCCTTTTCATCAATGCACTTACAGATTGAAGTATACCAACATGGTAATGGTAATAAGTTGTGCATTAATATTATCTTAGGCTGCGTTTACACAGCAGGTAAAAGTGGCCCAAATCTGATTTTCTCACCAAATCCGATTTTTTTTGTTTGGCCGTTCACATTATCTTTTAAATGTGACCTGTATGCGACATTAGTCTGAACAGATCACTCTCCTAAACCGACCCGCATGCGCAAAAGAACAATGCTTCACGTGGCGGCTCATCCAAGGGTAAACAATCATGACGGCCAGCGAACGCCAGTCGCTCCCAGAGCCTTCAGTTTAGTCTTCGCCAGCATCACAGGAGCTATTCTAAAATTCCAATGACTGACAGCTGAGCTCATCACCCACAGTGTGTTTGAGTTCGGCGAAAAAAAGGACACGTTATTCGGCCACTTCTTTGGTTCGTGTCCTCGGGTTTTTTTAACTGTTCGTTGACGCTGCAGCCTCGGGCTCCTCCAGCCGCGTTCCGCCGTTCCGTTCGAAACTTCTTTGAACCCGGAGCGGTTTGATGAGTCTCTTCTAATGTTTTGGTACAGAAACATCAGCCTAAATGTTTTTGAGTCTCAGCAGCACGAAATTATGATGAATGTCGAGTTGGATTGACGTAAAAGTCGCATGAATTCCTATCTGGCTGTTCAGACTGAGTCGCATTGCCGCAGATCGGATACGTATCGGATTTCAGTACCGCATATGAAAACGTCTCAAACTGGAATTGAAAATGTCAGATTCAGTGCATTTTGCTGTTCACACTGCCACACAAAGGACACATCTGTGTCACATATGAGGAAAAAGATCGGATTTCGGCCACTTTTACCTGCTGTGTAAACGTAGCCTTAGATGGAGAAGACAGTCATGCACTGTCTTATCCTAGTTGTAATACAATATACCTAATTCTCTTTTATTCCCTTTGCCATATTAATCTTGATGTTATCTTGTCTCTTATTAAACTGCTAAACAGATATTTCCACTCCAATGACCTAAAAGCGATTTAGCAGTTTCATTATTGTATTTCTCTTAACTGACTCTATGCTCTATTTTCTTTGCGATGACTGAATGAACCATAGTGATGTGATTATTTAAGGGTTTTTTGGTAGAGAGCTTGTAATCTTGAGGTCTTCTGTGCCATTCTAGTAGACAAATCAATTCTGGGAATGACTGTTTGGGAAATTTGTTCTCACCATGATGCCATCCCTGTTCTTTTGATTTTGCTGGTGAGTCTGGTACTTTGAGTGTATGGCTGAATAAATAAAGCAGGTGAGAGGGGGAAGACAGGACATCCTTGTCTTGATCCATATTTCAGGATCTCATAGGTGCGTTAACTTTGATTCTAATGGATGGTCATACAGTGCTTGGTGCAGTAAGTTTCAGTTCTTGGTTTTTGGAATCTTTAACATTGTATGAAAAAGTTCCCTTCACTAAATCAGAGACCTGCTTTGTATCCAAGCTGCCTTTACTCAGGCTGTGCAATTTGTCTAATTATGTGGAAGGTCTGTCTGATGTGTTTACTTTGTAGAAAGAAACCTTTCTCATCTGAAGGAATACATTCTTTTCATTCATTTTTTCTGTTCTTTGTGTCACTATAGATGTAAACTTGTACTTACTGCCATAATATTAAGAAGCTATTTTTGGAGATGTGATAACTTCACATTTGGTTAATATTTCATTTGCAATGTAGGACAGCAGTAATGTAAAATTGATACTGATCCTCCTAGCAGCAAAGACAAGAAAGCACTGAGGAAAGGATATGTAATACATGATTATTTTATTTATATTACTTTGTTTGTATTTAAGATGCTAATAGGCCAGAAAAGACAACAATCTGGCTTTTTTTCCCTCTTTCGATATGACTGAAGTAGTCATTGTGCTCTGTGTATCTGATATTTTTTCTGTAATGTAATGTTGGCTGTAATGACAGTTTGTACTTCTCAGAGTTGAAATGTCCATTGCCAGGGATTTATTTGCTTTCACTCTTGAAATTCCCGGGTGCAGTTCCCCCTTTGTTATTTCAGTGTTTTCATTTTGTTCATCCATGATAGATAAAGAATCCATTGAGAAAAACGTTGACTCACTCTGGATGTCCATTATTAAACTTGGGCTGGGAATATAGTGTTTTACAAAACTGTCCAAAAAAAAGCTGATGATTTATCCTACTTTGCACTCAGTTCCTTCTTTGTCAGTGCTCGGTACCCCTCGGTACATCGTGTATGTTGCTTCATCTGCTTGTTGTTTCTGTAGTTTGTCAGATATATTTTATAGATTGTCCTCCTTTTTCGGTAAATAAATAAGCAGCTCTTTTGTACTCCTTGCATATATTTAGTTCCTTATTTTTTTATTTTCTTTATTTACTTTGCTATACAGAGATTTTTATGTTAATTTAATTTCAGAATCTTGTTGCCCTTAACAATTTTTAGAAGTAATACCCTTATTTTACCTCTAGTCATGTGTATTCCAAAGCACAGGCAGTGTGACTTTACTGTTTAAATTCAGCTTTAGATATCTTATTATTTAGGTCTCTAACTTCTCATAGGCTTGAGGATAATTCAGCATACTTCAGCTCAGCCTCTAGACCTTATCTTACTGTTGGGATATGAAGAATTGTATATAGGACTGTAATCTGAATCCTTTTTCACGCTACTGTAATCTTTATAGGTCTCTCTTGTAGACAAGAAAATGGCATAGTCTGCATACTAGGGAAGCATACTCACATTCGTTGTATTTTGTTATTCATTTTATTCATTGTATTTTGTGTTTTCTTACTTACAAACTTTCTTTCTTTTGTCTTTCTTCAAATCTGACTTTGGATGTTCATAATTTCCTGTACTAGGTAACAGTATAGCCCCTCCTTTGCCTAAATGTACATATTTGATGTGCTTTTTGAATTTGCTGGACAATATGTATAATTCAGAAAGGTCTTTTGCAGGAGCAGTACTTGTCCTTTAACCTTCTGTTATTGGGCAGAGTCTTCCCTTTCTTAATCAGATTGAGAACCCTGCTGACATTTTAAGAAACTTCTTATACTTTGCCTTTAGACTACATCCTGCAATAGTCCTGCCATGTGTACGGAAAACTTAGCCTTTGCTGTTAAGAACAGCAAAATATGCACCAGATAAACAAATGACAGGAATGAAAATCCAGCATTAAACTTATTTGACTTCAAAATTTGTGGTCTTTCCTATGACACAACATAGGTTACACAAAATAGATCTGAGGAAAAGCCCCTCCCCCAAGCCTGACAGAGGGCCCTTGAGGATAACAACACAATAAAGCTTTAGCATTTCTGACAGGATGTCATCTGTGTTGTGAATTATCAACTGATTTAACAGTCCTTCCTTCAGCCTCATGCATTTTGGTTTTAATTTTCCTTATTCCTCTTTTTTCATGTTCTCAAGCTGCGGCTTGTTGTCCTGGTGAAATTCTCACAGAAAAAATCTGAAAAGTTCAGAAGAATCAGTCCCAAGTGAAGAATGCAGTAGTGATGTATTGCTGTGTTTAGTTTGGAGAAGACTACATATTTTCAAACTATCAATCCAGATTAGATTTGCAATTGATAACCTTTAGAAGTGCTTTTTAAGGATCTACTGTAAAACTAGACTTTGAGCTGTAAATTAGGTTTGAGGTTTTGGAAATTGGTGTCCAGATGTTGATGTTTTGCATGTACTTTTTCCCTCTCCGTGTTTGCCGACCAGTCAGTAAAGGCTAGATTTTTTTGCAGAAAAATGCACAGTTGGCACTCTTGAGATGTTTTAGGGCCTTTGCTATGGCTACTACTTCTGGCTTGAGTTCCATTAATCTACTTGCTATGTCTTCTCTTGAAAGCATCCTAACCAGCTACTTGCGTCTTTGTCATAGAATATGACAGACACCTAGCACCCGCCAAAGGCATGGCAGCGGCTTACCTGGACCCTAACCTGAATCATGCCCTGAGCCAAGGGGTGAAACCCCGCTTCAGTGGTGGTATGGAGCGGGCAGCGGGGGCTATGGAACGCGTGCTGAAAGTCTTCCACTACTTTGAGAGCAGCAGTGAACCCTGCACATGGGCCAGCAACATCAGGCACGGGGACTCTACTGACATTAAGGTGAGTGGGAGCTGCTCAGGTTAGAACACTGTGACATTCAGGCAGCAAGTAATGTGTATAGTGGGCGTAATAATATTCCATCAGTTTTGTTTTTTGTTAGGGCAGAGGTTGGATGATATGACAATATCGCTATTGTAATAAATTATGTCATTGTTCCTGGTATTGTCACTATTTCTAGAACACTGTGAAAAAGTAGAAATTTTGATCAATGGAACGTAATACATGGTACAGTATCATAATGCAGAGGCTAATAATGCAATGATTACCTTACAATATATTGCACAATCCTAGTAAATGTGCTCATTAGTAAGAGAATGCAAATGATGGCTGTGAGCACATGAAATTGATGTTGCATGAAGCACCAGAAGTGATTATTCATAAGCAGTCTAATTTGCCTAAGGTGTTTATCTCAAGACAAAATACTTATGGTTAATTAAATCAGTGCTGTGGTACTGATTTTAATAGTCATTTTCTTTTCCTTTCTCCAATAATTTGTCTCTATCACTATTTCTAATTTCTATATTCCTTTTTTCTTTTGCACACAATGATGCTGACTTCCATCATCTAAGCCTTTCCCCTGGCAGTGTTGCCATTTGCATTCTCTTGGCCTCCTGGCTTGCTGGAAAAAGTGGTAGACAGTGACATGCTGTCCTAAATAATTTACAGAGGTTTGTTTTTGATGCTGAATAACCGATGAACTTCAAAGGGAATTGTCCCATTTTCCTTCCCTCTTACCATTCTTCGCACTCTTTGTAACTCCTCGTGTAGAGCCTCACTGGGACAGCCTTGATGCTGACTAATTGACATAATATAGCACTGGACATTAGTCAGGCTTATTGGCACGAAACCTCTTTATATTGATAGGTTGTAGACCATGGAGATTTGGAGGTGATTTTGGTAACAGTTTGATTCTGTATATATGTATTTGCACAGATGATCATTACACACAAGTAGTCATTGGGTAATCAGATCAAATTAAGGCTTGACCCATATGTAAAAATTTTGTAAGATACCGGTAACTCCTTTAAGAAGCTAAAAAATCCTACAACTGATAATATTGGGTAATATCATGTTATGTACTCAAAATAAAAAATAAAACAGAATCTAGTCAGTGCTTTAATGATTGGCTGTTGTCAACTGTCGTTTGTGAATTGTCAAATAAAAAATAGTTTATTCCTAATAAATATAGTAGCATTTTTGTCTCATTTTTATTGTTTCTGTTAATAGACCTCTGAAGTCAAGTGGAACTCCAGTGTTTTATATCTATGAGAAAAATGAATAGCATTTTGAAAACTGCTGCTGTTGCACTCTGTGGTAAATGAAAATGTTCTAGTATGTTTTTCCCTGTTTACACTTTTCCCATGGATGTCACCAGTTCCAGAGTTACAAGGTTGTTCGGTAGTACACTTATTACTACATTCATGCTACAAGCAAGCTAACACTCCTGCACATTGAAATGATGTCGTATGACCTTATTAGAGATCTTTCTTTGTTAATTTATAAAACATGTGATTTATAACTATAGGTGAATTTAGGTCTGACTAAATCAATAAATCTGTATAACCAGAATATAACTTTAATATTGGCTGACTGATCGGTTGGCTGACCAATACATTGGTCAAACCAAAGATCATATTGCACAACTTGCCTTTCTCTTGCGCTCATCTAACTCTTTTGTAGCTGTCTTTTACGTTTTCCTCTCTCATATACATAGACTCTCATGTACTCTCTGTCCTGCTGAATAAACATGTGTAAGATAATAGAGTCGGTCAGTGTGAAAGAGGTTAAATTCTTGAGAAGACATTCTTCTGACGTTCTCTGTTCTCGTGCAGATGCTTAGCTCACTGTGGAGCAGGTATTAAATGGGCATTCTCCACAAACCTGTACAGCTTTTTAATTACAAACAAATGAAGATAAAAAACAGTCTTCAGTCTTTTGTTAATTGCTTGGGAACATATCTTAAGATGTTAGCCTATTTGGGAATCTTCTTGCTTTAAAGCTGCTATGTTAGCAGTCACTTTTCTTGCTACATTAATATTTCAGTGTTTAAATGACAGTCAATAACTACTTTACATCTCTAAGGGGGGAAACAGCTGAATAATTGAATAAGGGTGATGATGGACATCTCTATAAAGTGTTCTGTATGTGTCCTGTCCATTTTTAGGGTGTCATTCAGAAGATCGTGGACATTCACAAGGTGAGGTGCGTCGCATGCTTCGGTCTGCGGCTCAGCCACCTAAGGACAGGTGAGGTGCACTGGCTCCACCCTGACATGGGCGTGTCTCGCGTGAGGGAGCGCTATGAGCACGGTCACCCACAGGACGAGTGGAGGTGAGTCAGCATTTTGCAGCCGCTGCCATGATTCATCTTTGTTTCCAAAGCTTTGTGTGGCAGCTGTATTTATTTCCACCGCATACAGTAAGAAACTGAATAGGTTGGAATTAAGCTCTAAAGTTTGATTTATTTTGTAACACTGAGCCAGTAATACTCAGTAAGCCAGCAAAGTTGAGCACTTAAACTGTAGGAAAAGCACAATCTTGCTGCAGTGGGGCTCGTTTCCAGTACAGTTCTGCACATCTTGTTCTGCTAGTGCCTTCTAAGACTCAGGGCCTGTTTGATGCTGGGTGCAAGCGCTGTTCCTTATTAGTTGTGAAGCCTGAGTGTTTTGACGCATTTGTAATTGAATATCACATTTACTTTAGAATTCAGCTGTAGTATCCTATTGACTGTATAATGAAGAAGTCCCTCATTGTGATTCAGATCCTCTCTCTTGTCTTTAGCATATCAGAGCTGGGCTGGAAAGAACAGAATAGACTTCAGCCCTTTGAAAGAAACTAGCAGGCCTTTGAAGAGCATGATAACAGTGATTTATTATTTAGCGACCATGTCTGTCTCCATCCATCCATTATTAGCGAAGCGCTGAACTGTACATTTTAATATAAATAAAATATAGATTTACAGCTTTAAGCAGTAGGCGATATGAGATCACATTCATTCTGTGAGGAATCTTTGTTTATCAGAATAGATGGATGGCATATACATGTGGCATTGTGAGGAATACTGTAGAGTTGCTATCAATGGTCTCTATAAATAAACTCAGTGCTGGCAGGATGGACATGATACTGTTGTTTCATTTCCTGATTGAGGCTTTAAATTCTTGCCTTTTGAAATTCAGCACAAGGGTAATGTACCTCTGATCGCTCCCGTCATTTTGAGTCCTGTAACAGCATGGCTGGCTTGAAATAGTATATTGGTATATTAGTGCATGTTTATGTGTGAACAACGTTTAAATAATGCAAAACTAACAACCTCCTCTTTTGTTTTATCACATTTAACAAGACTCAGATCCCAAAATAGGCCTACAGTATGAAATATAGGCCTCAATATCTAGGTCATGCTTGTTCCTGTGAAAATGCAAGGGGGATATTAGCATTGAGAGAAAATGTGTTATGTCTTTGTAAGACTGCGCTAGTACAGTCCTTTTTTATTTTTTTATGAAATTGCATCCGAACTGGAAATAATACATAATGTATACCATTTACACCATTTCTGAAGACTCCTGTAGATGATGTGTAAATTCCAAATGGTTGGTGAGGCTCACAGTAAACTGGTGGGATAAAGATTCATTGTATAAAGCTTTGGAGTAAATATGGCTTTTCCCTCAGTGGGCCTTCAGTGCAGGCCAAATGAAGCTAAATAAAACAATTCCCGCCTAATTGCAGTATTGTTTGTTCTCCATTCATGATGCCCTGGGCATCCTATCTTCCTGCGCAGTCTCTTCATTATGAATGAATGGGTGTTTTATTCATTTATGCCAAAGCTTTCAGTTCAAAGAGTGAGCCCAGTCTGCTTAGCCTCCAGCACTTCCTAGCTCTGGAAAACCGCAGTGCTTTGACAATAGATGCAGCATTTGCTCTAAATACTGTCTGCTCTAGCCACAGCTCTGAACAAGGTGCATCACCGATTTATTAAGAAGCTGTTCATTTGCCTGTGGTAAAGGAATGAATTACAGGATTAATGGATTTGACAGCAAAGATGTGTTAGTGGTGCTTTTGGTGGTTAAAAAAAAAAAATTGTGAACCTTTTGAAATGATCTGGCTTTCTGCATAAGAGGCGTCTCAATTTGGTTTGGTCTAGAAGTCATAACACGAATAATGACAGTTATTTAACAAACACAAATAACATTTTACAGTGCTACAGTGAAGGTCCTTGATGGAAAAAGTATGAGAATTTAAGGGTAAAGGCTTCTTACTGTGGGTTGTTGCCAACAGCTGTGGGTTTAACCTCTAAAAGGAGATTTAAGGAAAAAAAGACTTACAGAAGCTAATAAAAGTAGAAAAAGGATTTCTTACAAAGGTATTTCTGAAGATTTGGACCTCCATTAGCTCACAATAATGTGGCATGTCTATAATTGTTAGACATTCAGCACTATTGCTGTTCTCTTTAGTAGTAAAATCCTAAACGTCTCTGGTTGAAGGTTGGATCACATTTAAGGATCCATGCATCTAGTAATGGACATAATTAAGGAAGGCTCAAATTTATTAGGGATGTACAACGGTATCAGAAGCATACTGGTATTGGTAGATGTGTGTTTTTTTTTTTTTAAGCAAAGAGGAGTAGGCTCCCGAGTGGCGCAACCGTCTAAGCGTTGGCCCTATTATCAGGAGATTATCCCTGGTGATGCTACAGCCGTCCGTAGCCAGGAGTCCAAGAGAGCACAATTGGCCTCGCTCTCTGGGTGGGTGGGATGGCCCCTCCTTCTCCCCCCCATCACCTAACGCGATGCTAGTCAGCGCAGGCGTCTGTTAGCTGACGTAACAGATCTGGCGGTTGGCGCTTTCCTCCGAGCGCGTTCGGCTGTCCAATGACGTTGCATGAGCGGCAGTTCGGAAAGAAGCGGCGGCTGGCTTCACAGGTCTCGGAGGAAGCCTGTGTTAGCCTTCGCCCTCCTAGCGTTGATAGTATCGTGTGATTGGGGGAGTCCTAACTAGCGGGTGGAATTGGCGACGACTAAATTGGGGAGATAATTGAGTTAGCAAAGAGGAGCACACACGGGGTTACTGTGCTGAAGTGCCTGGATTATTTTATTTTACTGCGTTTGTAACCCTACAAAAATAAATGTTCTCATTCTCTGTAATGCTAGACAAGGTGGGGGTAATCCAAATATCTAAATTTCATAAATGTTTATATACCGACATTGACATCAGCATTGGCATAAAAAATATTGGATTTCAGCAAATGTGGTACAAATTATTGTTCGTTTACTCTCTTTATTTATTTATTCAATTTCCTTTGTACAGTCATTAGAACCTATGATAATCTGTGATTGCTATGTATACAATAGAAAAGACTTAACACTTAATATAGCCTATACAAACATAACCAACAAATTAACTGCACATATACATACTTTGAACACCACTTAGAAATATTATAACAGATTTCATGCAGTCAGGCAAAGAATGCTATAAAACATGTAAATGTAATAAAACTCTGCTACATGAGATCTGCTCTCTACTAGAGATAAAATGTTTAGAAGAAGGGTGCAGACAAGCCATTTTGGCAATATTTTGATATCCAAGCAAAAGACATCAGAGAACCAGTGAATGTCAACAGTGATGCATACTGTCTCTGTAAAGTGTAGTTATCATTATAAATGATTAAGTTCTGTTAGCCCAGTTGATGAGTATCTTGTAATTATATTACTAGCAGGGAAAATGCAAACTGTAAGGTAAAACCCTATAATGCTCACTTGTAGTGCTTCATTACTGATTTTGATCATGATTGGTTGTCTAAATTTATGTTACTAACCAAGCTTATTCACAATCAATGTATGGAGAAGAAAAAAATGTTGCTCCTGTAATAAAATGTGGTGTCATTTCATTTAACTGCTTGTAGCTGTATTTTACGGAATTTAAAGTTTTATACTACACTTTGTATCCTGCTAAATGCCTTTTCAATTCACCTTCTGATCCCCCCCAAAATATTTTTGTAAACACATACATTTTTAAGAAATTGTCTGAAATTGTAGAGGTGGCCTCTGCTCCCTGTCACTGTTTAAACAGACCACAATAAACATCTACCCCATTATGATTAACACAGCCAAATAAATGTCCAGCGCTAACTTCTGGTTGCTCTTGCTCAGGTGCTACAGCATACTGGCTTTGGCTCAGATTGTGTGACTAATTGTGGGTAATTGAGAGCAGACAATAAGGCAGCTGTGAGAGAATGGGGAGTAATTTTACCTCACAGACAGACAGCTGCTCAGGACAGGCTCTGATGAAATAGTAATAGTGGTGTCTGGCAGGCTGCAGTGGAACATGTCTCACTAGAATCTCTAATCACTTCCATATGATTCTGAGCACCAGCAAAGAACACAGCCCTGATGGCTGACATGTGCACACTGTTACACCAATTAAACACAGAGGTGCACGATATAGGTGGCCCATATTTTATTTTCCAATGAAGTATTTTAATCTTATACTCACTTGCTTGTACTTTATATGTGTACATAAGGTATTTTGCAAAAGTCAGAGGCCACCTGTAATTCATTCAATTTCCTTTCAAAACAGTCAGTAAGTACAGATTGTGGAAAAACTCCACAGGTGTTTCTGTCCATCTTTCCACTGCGAGAAGGCAACTCAGTGATATGGGTTTGCAAAGATTTGTAGCTGTCAAGAAAAAGCATTTACAAATCAAACAAAGAAGCTGCTGGTGTTCAGAACATAGACTGCCCACCCCAGAGTCCAGAGAGTGTGTGTGTGTGTGTGTGTGTGAGAGAGAGAGAGAGAGAGAGAGAGAGAGAGAGAGAGAGAGAGAGAGAGAGAGAGAGAGAGAGAGAGAGAGAGAGAAGCTGTAGGACTTGAGAGTGGGAGCGGGTCGGGCTGCGAATGACTCATCCTCTCATATCAGACAGAGATACACTGAAGCTGATTTGGAAAGAACTACTGAGAGCTGAATAAAACATGCAGTCCAACAGTATATAAAGATCTTTCTGGAGATTGCCGCATGTAGTTGCTTGTACTCGATAACAGATGCCTAGAATTCCACAAGGACACATGGAGAAAGGAAATTATAACCCTGGATTTGAACAGTAGAATTGAATAGAGTGGAATCTGACTGTGTTCAATGGCTCCTTTTACTCGTCTGTCAGCAGAAAATCCTGTTCCAGAGAGAATGTCACTGAAACAAACGCCTTTCACCAAAAGTGTTGAACATTTAGCTTATTTTTTAACCTTCTTCATGTGAAATGAATGTTAAAGAAATGAGTTGTCCTTTCAGGGGTATGCCGGATTCATTGGATTTATTAATTTAACCATGCTTTGATTTGCTAGAAAGAAATGACAGGCATCCTTCATGAAGCAGAGCTAATTCCTCAGCAGTGGCTCCTACCTGGAATTCGAGGCTAAGTTGCTGTATCTATAGCAGGCATGCAATTGCTAGGATTGTCAGGAATTCCTGAATATTTTTCAGAGCAGTTCACAAACTCCAACCAAGTTTGTGAGAATGTTATGTATTTGTTGACTCGTGTTGTTAGAGCGTACTTTGCAAACCAAGAGTGCCAATGAGTCCCACATACTGATACACGAACATGCATGTATCCCAGCTACTCTGAAAGAATGTTTTGGTGAGTTATTGGAGACGAAGCCACTGTGTGACTGAATGTGTTGTCTGAGAGTTATTTGATAGGGTTAAATTTCTATTGTTATTTTTATTTATTTTTTTAAAGTATGTAAATAGTAATTACTTTTTTAAGTATGTAAATGGTGATCTCACGACCCCTAGTATGTAACCCCATTGACTGTACTAGAGAGCATTGCAGGGAAGTTCTAGCAGTGTTTTGTCTATGTGAACTGGTCTGACTCTGCTTCTTTGTCCTCAGGTATGAGCTGCGAATACGCTACCTGCCCAAAGGATTCCTAAACCAGTTTACTGAAGACCAGCCAACACTAAACTACTTTTATCATCAGGTGAGATCACATGTGCTTTCCCTCTCTCTCAGCTCTGCCCACTATAGTTTCTTTTGCTCAATAATCTTTATCAATCTGAAAACAACACATACCTTCTCAGTCACTGTACCTGTAAATAAATAATAAATAATTCAGTAAGGCAGTAAAATCTAGCACTGTCACATTCCCCGATTATACCTGATTAAAAAATGACTTCTTTATGAATTGGCATTGACTGATTGACAACTTGCACAGTTGTTACTGCCACAGTTGGTGCTGGTGTTGAATAATTAGCTCTGGATCACACACGCCGCTCCAGCTCATCCTAAAGATATTGAATGGTGCACCATCACAGAACACCGTTCCTCTGCTCTGTAGTTCAATGCTGGAGGGCTTCATATGTAATAATTTTTAATTCTTTTGAAGTCTTTATCATGCTGTGCATGTTTGTTGTTCAATTAATAAACCATAAAAATCCAGTTGAGTAATTTTAATTTATGTTAACCTACATAGTTTGTAGTGTCAGCCATATTTAAATTGCTGTGGTGAAGAAGATTGGCCATGTAGAGAGTTCTAACGTATGGTGTATATGTGTGCACACATCTGGTGTATTAGTGTGCTGCAGGGTGTTTGTAGTAAAGCTAAACTGGGTCAGTTAGCTTTAGATTAGCTCGTCTCTCACAGTGCCTGGGGTCTACTGCTGAGCTGCCAGGTTGAGTGAACTTGAAAATTGAAGGCCATCATAGAACAGAGAGGAGATCAGACAGGTACCTTCTTACCTCCTTCCTACCCCCCTTCTCTGAATGTCAGGCCCGCTGGGTGTTGAGCTACACAGCCTGGTATAGATGTGGGATCACAAGCTGTTCTGAAGTGGGCGGCTGGATTTGGTAGTGACCCATATTTTACTGCTATCCTTTTCAAATGTTTTAGAAAATGCTGTAATTCACAGTGAAATGTCATTGAAATCGTGACATCACTTTATGTGTACGATGCAGATCATGAACGACGTTCTCCTGTCCAATACTAAACTGACTTACAAGTTTCAGTCCTGTCAGTCCTGTCTTTTAGTTTTCTCACCTTCTAGTGCTCTCGCTCTCTCTCGCTCACTCTCCCGCTCTCATTCACTCATACTATGTATAGTTCTTATACAGTATCAGTCAGTTTAATTTTTATAGATTTTATGTTTATATTTTCCAGTTCACGCTGCAGTAGTTTAGTTAAACAGTGCTTTTACTGACAGATATGATCAAGAAACATTGTGAATTGTCAAATATGACTCAGTTCCCATTTGTCACATTTCTTGCACTCAGCCAACAGCAGCAGTCACAAAGTCTTAAATAATGTAAATATTGTAGTGTTTCTGGTGAAGGGGCTGAGCTTCCCAGAATTCGTTGCGGTTTATGTTACTTTTATGTATTTTATGTTTTTGTTATTTTAAGAGAAACAGACTTCAGTTTGTGTTGCTGTGATTAACCTGAGGTTAACAAATGATGATTCACTTTAAAAAGACCAAACAGGAAATCATTGAATGTGTATGTCTTATACAAGGTATTTAGAACAGTCTCGATAACCATGTGAGACATCAGCATTGTCTGACATTACTGTCCAGCTGATATATCAGTCGGGCACTGCTGTAAATACAGTTGCTCCTCTTTCTAAGCGTTTAGGCTATGCCTCAGTCACACTGTTGTGGTTCGTTTTCTAAACACTGACTTCTCTGCGCCCACCAGGTGAGAAGTGATTATATGTTGCAAGTAGCTGATCAAGTTGATCAAGACATTGCACTTAAACTCGGTTGCCTTGAAATCAGGTGAGTTGCATGAACTTCCTGCCAACAGGAATTGCACAGTGTGTGCTTCTTTATATTTCAGAGAGGGGGGAAAATGTTTTTTCTTTTCTTTTTTCCAGGAGATTTTTCAGAGAGATGCCAGGAAACGCCCTGGATAAAAAATCAAATTACGAATTACTAGAGTAAGTGGAGTTTTTGGTGGTAACAGTTTAATAACTCATCTTCATTATTAGATTTACACTGCTCAATAAGGGTATTTTGTGACTTATTAACCATTGGGTGCATTAGACATCCAATGGCAAGCATCCTCACCTATATTGAGACCATAGAAGTCTTTAGTGGAAGATGTCTTGAGAGATCCTCATTCTCTCCTCACTCATGCTGTATATGGGTCAGAATAAATTGTGCTCTCCGAAAACCTGTCTGCCCTATTTATAGTGGCGAATAATTGATCCCTGTACATCTCCTGCAGTGACGTAATGTGCACACTGAAGCAGTGTTTCTGCTGCTTGGAAGCCCCGGTCAACAGCTGGCATGCCAGGTTTTTATTATTGCAGCAGCAGAGACTTTAAAATTGTAATCTGCCACTCAAACCTACAATGTGTACATTCACTAGGTTTCCTATTTGTACACTGGGAGCTAATCTTATGGCAGTAGTAACTCTGTGACAGCAGCTCCTGGCTGTAGCTTTAATGATATAGCAGCTTCAGTCGCCTTTGAGCACATTTACTCACTTGACACATTTACTCCTTGACCTTGGCAGCCTGGCAGCTACAGTGCACTGTTTTATGGGACTGTGGGTTACCCAAGTCAAAGCCATACCTGTACTGTGAATATACTGATTTTCTACCCCGCCAGTATTTTCATCTGTCTACAAATTCTGATTCCTGTAATGTTTTATTATGTTTATTCAATAAACAGATTGAACAGCTTTCTACAAATTGGCTATCTATGCACAAGTTTTTCCACTTCTCCTGTTCTCTTGATTACTATCTACTGTTACTAATTGGTGCAGTGTTGTGTGTAGTATTAAATGTTGGCTTTAATAGCTATATTGATTCTGTCTCATTCACAAAACAAGGTTTCAGTAGAACAGTGAAATATTTCAGCTTGCTCCTGGTCTTCTTGTATTAGATTATCTTTTTTTTTTTTTACACGCGAGAGTCTTAACTAAGTTTTCTTTATTTTTATTTTGTTAACTGCTGAATGCAGAAAGAAGCTAGAAAGCTAATGTTAAAACCGGATGACAGTTGTCTTGTTACAGCCGTCTAACCATGGTGACTGCTTACGTTACAATGAAGAGAATGGATTAGTCAAATGATGGAAATGACTTGTAAGCTAAAAGCTGCATTTAGCATAGTAGCTACTTGGCTGTCTAGATGCCTTACTTCAGTTTGGCTAAAATAAAGTTAAAAACTAATCTCAGTTCTGTTCTGTGCTTAATAATAATGAAATTTTCTTTACAAATTTGTTCAACAATTAAGGTGATAGTTACATGAATGCTAACTTGTATATTATACCTTTGTGTATATATATTGTGTATAGTACATATTGTATATGTATTTAGCCTATAGCCTGTTGCTAAGCTAGCAGTCAGGATTGTTTTGAGGCCACAGGAATTGCAAATAATTGTATTTGCAAAATGTATGCTGGGTATTGTAGTGAGAGAACATTGATAAACGAAACAACTTGAAAAATACATAAAATCCGGAATTTTCTAAATGAGGCTCACACAATGCTGTACTACAGAATATTACCTGGCATGGCAATTAACACATTAAACTCTAAATTTAGGCCGGTATGCCCCTTAAAGCTGATTTTGAACACCCAAAATCTGTATTCATTCACTACAATCCTTCTACTTCCTCTTCTTCTGTGTATGACATTCCTTCATCCTCTATTTGTTCTGCAGAAAAGATGTCGGTTTGAGGAGATTCTTCCCGAAGAGTTTATTGGACTCGGTCAAGGTGAGGCCAGCAGATGTGGGGCTCTATCTCTGTAGGACTTGGCCATGTGCCTACAGCTCTGCATTCACACTGAACTAATCTAGGCACAGTTACAGGCCAACCACCCTCACTCTGTTTCACATAGACAGAACTCTACTTGAGCTGCCTCTGCACTCGTTGTTCTGGAAGCCCAGTTGAGTCGAGTGAGGAATAGTTTTTTTCTGGCTTGAGATAGGGTGAGGATGCTATTGTTCATATCAAATCATTACCTGCTTGGTTGCCTCAGCGTTCGTATGCTCTGGAGAGCGAGTGGCCCAGTTCTGCCTTCCTCTCTTATGCTGCTGTTGAGGAGGCTGCGCTAATGCATTAGAGTGTGCCAGAGAGCCCATTTCCTTCTCTTTCTCACCTAGCCCTGCTCAACTCAATTCTCAGTGTGCTGGAACTTACTAACATACTACTGTGCAGCAGCTGTTGCCCTAGATCCCAAAATTAGGGGTGGTTTTTGCCTGTCCTTTCTGGTCATGTTGTTCGTTTACTGCTGCTTTCTGCAGGGATATCATCGTCATTGGTTTAAGCTCCTCATGAGGACTAGGTGCCTGCCTGTGATTGCATGTCTGAGTATGTGCAACAAAGCTGATATTAGGTTGAACCAAATAAAAGCTGTTATAAGATTGAACTAATCATGTAGTACAATGTCAGAACTTACAATGACACACAGATCTGATCAACTGGCTTGGTATTGGCACCGATGCTGACCTTATGAACCGGGTCTGATATTGGCCAGATGTGACCGATCCACATTTGAAATTAAAAAGCACATTATGTGGTAGCTGTCTGAGCCTCAGATGCTCCGCCCACAGATGTGAGGAGGCCATCTGATGTCTTTTACAAATTAAGGGATTTTGTCACTTCTAGTTTGATTGGCTGTCCCCACTGCCGTGTGTATGCGCTTCTGTAGAGAAGGTTTTATCAGTCTGACAGGAAATGCATCTTTGCAAGCAGTTGCTTGCTCTGCATGCTATGAGTCTTTTGGAGGCAGATAGTCAAAGTTCTTTACAAGTTATTCAAGACTTTTTTGAGCATTTAGTCGATATTCTTTTGTTTGCCGACACATACCAATATGTTGCATGTGGGTTTGTTTTTGTTGTAGCGCCATTTTGAGAATCACCTGCCGCATCCAGCCAAAACACCAGCCTGTGACTGGTTATTGGAGATGCCAATCAAATTTCCCTTGCCTGTCAAAGTTGACAGTTCATGGCCACACAGCGACAAAACACACCAGACTTTCTGACGATAGACTTTCTGACTTGCAAGATGTACTTAAGTAGTTCATTTCTTTCTTATTTGACGTATTTACTTATTTATTTTTTCATTTTTAATGAAGAATGTATGCGTAGTTAGTTTTACTTACATTACACTTACAATAATGATCCCAAGCAACTCAACACAGTGAGGTTTTAAATTGAAATAAAAAAATAAGCACTGGTGTTGATTAGTGCTCATATAACATAAGAAAAGTTGTTTAATTGTTGTTCAGTGGAGCCACAGCACATTGGTGAAAAAATATTATTGTAAGTTAGAGCAGAAAGCAGGTGCAGGTATTGCGCTACTCTAAACCAACTCCCACACAGTCAGGATGTGCGTGTGCCACTCTAGCATGTCCACATGCAGATGTGTGTCTATATTCCTTTGGGTTTCCCTTGTCTACAAAGACAATTCAAGTACCTTCGTGGTTCTAACTCCCCTCTGGCCTCACCTCTGTTTGTTTCTCTCCCTGAGGCAAATCGTTCTCATCTCACCCTACTTTAATGCTTCCTTCTGTTACCCACCTTTTCCACAGGTCGTCATGGAAATGTCAAGATGACAGACAAAAATAAATTTGTTAATGAAGGTCCTTTTAAGTGCTCTGTAGATTCTGTAGAAAAGTTTGCAGATTGATTACTTTTACACTCAGTAGATATCACCAGTGTCAGCATTTAACATTTGAATATTTGTTGCCTGTAAGTCAACACAGATTTTCTTGACATTGTATGATATTAAATTAGAGTATATTTTCGTTTATGTTTTTGTGCTTTGGAGGGATGTATTTTCAATAAAGTAGTTAGAAGAAATTCACTGAAACTAATCAGAATCTGATCTGTTTTGTTTTTGCAGGCTAAATCTTTACGGAAGTTGATCCAACAGACGTTCAAACAGTTTGCCAACCTCAATGATGAGCAGAGCATTCTCAAGTTCTTTGAGATCCTGTCACCAATTTATAGATTTGATAAAGAATGCTTTAAATGTGCTCTTGGGGTAAGTTTATATAAGCTGTTGTGTTGTGAGACGGTATTGTGTGTTTATTTTCATGATTAGAGGCTTGTATACCTTTTCCAATAGAACTAAAAATTAAATCTCTAATAGGCAGATTTTTCATAACTGTTGGCAGAGTTGCTCCTGTAGGTAATTCGTTGTTGTCTGTAATGACCTCTGCTGGCTTAACAAAGAACTGTTAATGGCAGATTCTATAGCTAGTAACTTTACCTACACTGTAGTTTTTATGGGGTACCTAACAAAACCCAATATTTTTAGAATCAGGTGTGCTTGAGTTTAAAAAAAGAGAGAGAGCGCATAGATTTGACCTGCATGACTAAGTGCCTGCTGCTGTGTGTTACAGTCCAGCTGGGTGATAGCAGTAGAGCTGGCCATAGGCCCTGAGGAGGGAATCAGCTACCTTACAGACAAAGGCTCAGCTGTGAGTATCTCTGCATTCAGGCATAGATGACTGGATCAGTATATGAAATAAGATTATGCGAGCTCAGAATCTTTCTCAGGTTTTTGTGAATTGAGTTTACTTAAAGAATTCAGCCTGTGAACTGAAGAGAGTAATTGATTTTGTCCTTTTCTTTGTGCACATGTAGCCAACACATTTGGCCAACTTCACCCAAGTGCAGAGTATTCAGTTCGAGGAGCAGGAGAAGAAGGGAATGCTGCAGCTGGATGTGGCTGGAGCAGCAGAGGTACTGTATACTGTACACACGCCTACACAGTTTGCACAATGCTAATTGATAGAAGCTTGAAAAAGCTTCCATTACGTGTTAGGTAATTCCATTAGCCTCGTAGCTCCAGTGCAAAACTAACAAAGGTAGATCGGCTACATTTAAATTGAGAGGGGAAGTTATGTAAATTAGATTTTTTAAAATATAACTTTAAAAGAATTTGATATTTTAGTTACTGGATATCTAGATAACATTTTTGTGTCACTATCATGGATCCTTAAAAGTCTTATAAAGTCTTCAAAGTAGGTTACAAAAATGTAAGGTCATAAAATGTCAACTTGAAAAGATGCATTGTGCATGTTAGTCATGTACTTTACACAGTCGGTGGTGGCCTTGTGGTCAGACAGTGATCACTGATGAAGGACTAGTGGACGACAGAACTGATGTCAAAAACAGATACTGAAAAGACGTGTGTGTGTGTGTGTGTGTGTGTGTGTGTGTGTGTGTGTGTGTGCAGTCATATGAAGAAGTACATGCCATGAAAAGTTTAGACTTTTTCAACATATCTGGAGATGCAGATAAAGTCTTCAAGTCTTCATTTAAAGTGTTGATAGATGGAGGTGATATAATTTAAGTGACAGAATTAACATTTTTGTCAGTAAGTACACCTCTACAGATCACTACTTCAAACGTGTCAGATCAAAATCAGGTGCACCCGATCAGTGGTAATGATTAGAATGCTATTAGAGCATATCATGGAATAACTTGTCTTATTTATAACCTCAGATATCTGGTCTGGTCTGCTCTTTGTTAATGGAGTTTGTGGTATCATCATGCCTAGATTAAAACAGTTCTCTGAGTCCTTCAGAATATTCAAAGCCCCAGCTAACATGTCCCCAGCAAATTTAAACTGATTTTAACACAAAAGCTCATCACAGTTGATAGAGTTGTTTCTCTCAAAGTGGACAGTACAAGTTACTGAAGCCAGAGGTGTACAAAATTTTTCAACAAATAAAAATTACATCTAATAAATGATTGCAGAGTCAAATTTCTATTGTTTTTGTTCTGTTACAAAATTTCTGTATACACATACTGTTTAACTGAAGATCAAATGCAGATATGTCCATATATGTCAAAAAAAGAAAACATTTCATGAGGTGCTTTGTGTGTGTGTGTGTGTGTGTGTGTGTGTGTGTGTGTGTGTGTGTGTATGTGTGTATGTGTGTGTGTGTGTGTATGTATATATATATATATATATATATATATATATATATATATATATATATATATATATATATATAAAATGTGTGTATATTAGGGGTGGGAATCTCTAGGCACCTCACGAAATGTTTTCTTTTCGTTTCGATTACGTTTCAGAGGGCTGCGATGCGATTATAAAACGATCATCGATGTATCTCGATGCATCTTTTTTTTCTATACATGATTTCTATTTTCTTACTGTCTGAGGACTTGGTACTTTTAAAGCTAAGTGTTTGTAATGATCCATAATGCATTTACGTCCAATATCTTTTATTAATAAAGCAAATGGTAGTGATGTGGCAAGTGAACTCGAAGGCTCTCATTCACTGCTCTTGTTTGGAGACGCTGCTGCCACTCATCTGCGATAAAATGCGCTATTACGGTGAAATAAGATCCAGTGGTGATGGATGGGTGTGTGTGTGTGTGTGTGTGTGTGTGTGTGTATATGTGTATATATATATATATATATATGTATGTGTGTGTGTATGTGTGTGTGTGTGTGTGTGTATGGCTGATATATATAATTAATACATACCATATGTGAGTTTGTGTTTTTTTTGTTATGCAGTGGAAATGTTTTTTTGTTTTCTTTGTTGAGGTCTTGAAAAGATATTACAAAGCACTGAAATGGATTTTAAGAATTGTGCAGTAACGCTGTATTCTGAACATGAGTGTGAGTGCAGTGTGCATGTATACAGATGTTTGCTTGTGTATATGAATGTTTACCTGTGTGCTGTGTACATATGCATTTAGCTATGTAGCGTGTAGTGTGCACAGTGCTGATTGATTCTCTGTATGTTCACTGCAGCCTCTCACAGTGACGACTCCATGTCTGAGCACAGCAGAGAATATGGCTGACCTGATCGATGGCTATTGCCGGCTTGTCAACGGAACCTCCTTGTCCTTCATCGTCCGTATACAAAAAGGTACAAACTATTAAAAATGTCCCGATTCCAGTTTGGCTGCCCCTCTTACAAGATTTTGGGTCATTGTTTTAGTTAAGTATAGGTGTCGATTTAAGTATATCATTTGTATTGTCCGTGAATTCCACTTTTTATTAGTGCATGCTGTCCGTCACATGTACAGCTTAAATGGAGTTGTGTCTTGTGTCCAACAGAGGGAGAGAGAGCATTGCCTTCAATCCCAAAGGCTCCAAAGTAAGTGATATTTACTTTTGCAAAAGCGATTTTTCATTTCTTTTGCGCTTCAAATGGGCGATATCCTACACTTTCTTTCTTTTTTAAGATATTTGTATGTTTTTATGTACCAAAAACGGTCATAATTCATTTCTATATGACTATTTTCTAACCTCTCTCTATCATTTAAAGAGGCTTTTTTGTCATTGTGCCTTTTAGACTGATATAAGTAAATGATCTCTGTTCTAATTAGCTGCACTGTGTATTGCAGCATAGTGCAGTCCTGAAATGTTCCTTATAACAAATGTTCAGGCCCAAACTAATGTAGACTGAATAAGCAGTCTTTACTTTCAGTCTTAAATTTCCTTTTATGGAGCATGTAGACTGCGGGTTGAACGGTATTTGAAACGTGTACGTATGCTTTGAAACAGTGTTTACATACTGAATCAAACACTTATTTTTTAAAAAAAAAGCAAGGAAAAGTCAGTTTTCCATGAAATGGGCCTTTTAAAATATCATGAATATACCTTCTGAAAGCATTGCAGAGGATGCTGCATTTGATCTTAAATTTTGAGTCACACCTGCATAGTCTGCCAATAATTTGGACATATATGAGAATGAAATTAGCCATGTTAGTTCAGAGAAAGAGGCACAACATGACCATTCTTTACTCATTCTCTAAGTGGTGTATTATTCAGGATTCAGGATTGTGACACATGGCAGAATTAAACATTATCATTCTGTGAGCACACTGAGGGACTTAAAAAGCTGTGTGACTAGCGATTTTCCTTTTGCGTCTTAAGAGGAATGTACTTTCCTTCATCCTTCTTGTCCAGTACTACAGTACTGTGATACTGACTCTGTCATGACCAGGGCCGGCTGGTATAAATGGGCTTGTGAGCCCTTCCTCTATTTCAGTGAAAAATTGGTATCAAAGTAAGGTTAAATTTTAGCCACATTATTTGCTGTTAACAAATGACTAGAAGCTTATCATTTTAGACCTTTCTGAATCCAAGAACAATAGCGCCATCAAGAGGTTATAAGAAAAATGTGGTTTGTCTAATTTGAGGTTGATTCCCATCCAGCCCAAGCTGTAGACTCCTACAGTCGATCTGTGATTTCATGCCAAATATGTTGCAAATTATTACACAGTAGAATTCATTATACATTTGGGGTGTTCAGCTCCATCTTCCTGCCATGTGTAGTGTGTACTAGTTGGGGTTGGTAGGTTCAGTTCTAAAATCTTTTGTCCGACTTGAAGCCATTGTAACTTTTTATTTTGACAGATACAGTCAAATTGTGAGCATGCCATTTCATGGCAATGTTTAATGCAGAAATATTTAAATTTGCTTTCTAAGAGGCCTGTATTTATCTGCTATAATGCTGATTTTCTGTTAGTGCTCTTAAATTATTTGCGGTACGTTTGTGCCAAGCTAATCGTGGTTCTATAGCAACTGTACATGAACATTTGAAGTTTATAATAGACATCCAAATAAGATTTTTTTTTACTTCATATTTTGCTGTTTTACAAAGTCCTTCATTAATGATTTGAACTGAAATCTTGTCATGTTCCATTCCTGTTGTAGTTGATAAAAAGTGCAAAACTGCTGCAAAATATAGCATGATTATTCTCTTATCTATATAGCAGTTTGCTAATGGCACACATCAACATTAATTAATAAATATTATTTGTCAACCTGTAGCTAGCTAGACAGCTCATTTCATTATGTTAGTGCTGATGGTGTGATTCTACAGTGTGTGAGATATTGATAGGTGTCCCTTTTTTTTCTTTTTTCTTTTTTTTTTAAGCTCTCCCATTCAATATGATGATCAGCTGTCACTGGTCGTGACTTAAGTCATGACGTCTTTTTCACATTTAAAAAAGGGAAAACGCTGACACAGATGAACCAACCCATTAGCCAAGCTTACATATATTCACACAGTCTGCTCTTTGTTGTGGTCTTTCTTTTCATGCTTGCTAATTTAAAGTGCTCAGCTCATCTCTTATTATCTTAAAATCTGCTACTCTGTGCCCTACTTGTCTGCATCATGAGGAATTTCTCAGTTTGTTTCAATGGCAGTATGACACCCCTCCCCCGTGTTTTTTGAAGCAGGTACTGATGTAACAGTCTCATCCCCCCCCTCTCCATTTTGTAGACCAGTGGAATAGCCACACCAGCAGCTTGTGCACTAAGCAGTCTATTCTAGCTACTGTCTAGGACTATGACAGTTTTGTGTGTGATTGATGATGTATAACATTCATCTGCTCCAACCTCTGCTCCACAGAGCCTCAAACCATGAGAAACGATTGCAGGGGGTCAAGGCCAGGGCCATCTCCATCTCAGGTAAGACAACACGCTCACACACCTCACAACTCTCATTTGTTAGTGGGACTGAGATATGGGATGAAATGAGGATCGGCAAGCGTGTCCTGATTCTACAAAGCGTTCATCAGTGACGAAGGTGACCCACAGGCAGACTGACTAGGAATCCTGAAGAAAATTGCAGCAACAAAAAGGACTGTAGTTCTATGTCTAAAGGAGGATGTACAGAATTGACAAGACTTGGTGGACTTTAACAACAGTGTATATGCTTAAATGCAAGTAAATATTTAATATATATATATATATATATATATATATATAATTTTAAAGAAGTACTGAAAATGCCTTTTAATTCAAGAATAATGGCATTAATTTTTGCTATTTGTGTATGATTTTGAACCCCATTCCTCTGAATGTTTAGGCCCCCATTGGTAGCTCACTCTACATTTGGAAACTTTTTGCATATGCATTTCTCAATGTTGTGGTTTTGCAGCTTATGATCTAAATCATATTTTATCATTCTGTGTCTGAGAGGTATGACCATTGATTGGTTATTTACGCAGTGTTGTTTTGAAGTATGCTGGTTGTGTGCCATGTAGTAGTCGTAGATGTTTTGGGCATTTACCTTGAAGTCTGTCATGGCGTTTATTACCGCACAGCCTGTTTATTTAGAGCTTCTGCCAAGCAGTCATTTGAAGACTTTGTTGCCAAACATATTAAACTCTTGTCTAAGCACATTTGTCAGTTACCCTCCACTTCTAAATGTTAGGGGTATAGCAATGCATATATTATCAGGTTTAATACGATTTTCCCTTCTGAGGTTAAGATTCGTTTCAATTTTCTATATTTTATATGTTAAAATGTCTTTGATTCTACAGCACTAATTATGTACTACACAGACTGCTTTGGCTCAGAAAAGCAAAACACAAGTTATAGAATTTATTAGCATCCTCAGTCATTTAAGTGTGGGAACATGCATAACATAAGCCCCTCCCCCCTGCCTTTCCCGTTTTACTCTGATATGGTGCACTCAGATGCCTAGTTTTGATCTTTGACGGTAATTTCCTTGAATGATGGCAAATTATAGGACAGGGGTAGAAAACGGGTAATAGTTTTCAGTATCAATGCAGTGTTTCGAATATCACTGTATTTGATTCTCTGATACTGTATCGAATGTATGAAATTGTTACCCCTCTACTATGTGCACTCTAAATATACAACTCTAAACCTGTCCATTCTTGCTTTGTTGCTTCTAAAATATGAATACAATCTCTCTCTCTCTCTCTCTCTCTCTCTCTCTCTCTCTCTCTCTCTCTCTCTCACATGCATACTCTTTTGGATCTGCAGATGAGATTAGTGGGGACGGTAAAGTCATGCTCTTGTTTCTCGTATGGCCAAATTCACCCAGGCTAAACATTTAAAAGGCAAATCAGTCTGCCCTAGATCTGTCTGAACACTATTGCTTCAGTAGGTGTTGCTTAGAACATTCTAGACAACATTGTAGTGTCCCCACCAGATATCCACACACCATGTTTGATAACATGATCTACTTTGTGACAAACAGCACAGCTTTGAGCTATTTCATGGGCCATTATTTAGCAGCTTGGTTGAATTGGCCATCTGTAGTACTGTTGACATTAATGCACTTTTGATATTGGTATGTGGAACCACCCTGATGATAGCCTGCTGTGAGATTCAGGGTGTTTTTGTCTGGTTGGTATAGCCATGGTGTGTTCTTTTCGGATTCTTATCTGTTAAAAGCAGCTGTTGCTTTCTTTCCCTGATCAGGGGTGAAATATTTGGCAGCTGTCCTGATCTCTGGGGAGCCTAATCTGAGTGTATTTGTGTTCTATATATAATATTTTGCAATCACATTTGGAAATCAATGAATACGGTCTGATAAACAGTATATAATGTCGGCGACTGTATCCAGGCTTAATATTAGTGTCCAGCTGAGCAGAGAGAGATTCCCTCCTACAGCTGCATTCTTCTGCCTCTCCCGGCCTCTTGGCAGCGAAACACTGTAACTTTTTCCTTAAAAGCAGACTGGAGAGACACAGTGAGTGCTGATCTACCCATGACTTCATCTGCTTTTTCCAAAGCTGTGAAGAAAAAACCCTCATCCTGCTCATCTCTCTCTCTCTCTCTCTCTCTCTCTCTCTCTCTCTCTCTCTCTTTCTCTCTCTCTCTCTCTCTCTCCCTCTCTCCTCTCTCTCTCCCCCTCTCCCTTTTAAATGCCACAGCTGTGCAGATCCTATTAGGCTGCCAAACCTGCTAAACATTCAGCTGAGCTGGAGGAGAACAATATGGAGGGACTCTTTAGCACTGAGAATAGAGGGGGTCTACTAGTTTCTTGAGGACCTTGTCATTTAGGGGTACTATAGAAAGTAGGCTCTGGCCTTGTGGTGAATTGTATTGATGATTCTTCAAGCTGTTCTACTGCTGTTGTTTGGTTAATTCTGCCTTCTCCCTCCTCTCCTACAGAGACAGACGACTATGCAGAGATCATAGATGAAGAGGACGCATACACCATGCCCTCCAGTGAGTATGAGTTGTCACTCGTGAGTCAGAGATGCTGGATAGATTGCTGCTGTTTTGTACTTTAGTGCAATTGGATATAGTTTAGCATTTGTGTACAAGAGAATGAGCCAAGCTCAACAATGAGAGGGTTAACAGACTGACACAGAATGATACATGCAGCTATCAGTACTGTAGTAGTTTGTTTTTCCTTAATGTCTTACAGACAGACTTTAGAAGGGAAAGCTAGTCCAGGATCGAGTCGGAGGTGTGGCAGCTGTGCTGTGGTTAATATGTTGTCTGCACTGACTTTCCTCACCTCGCTGAGCAGATGTTCCTGAAACCTTTCATTAGCTCATAACTCATGCACAGCATTAACCTAGTTTCTAGTGTGTGCTCCACTTTTTCGTCTACTGTTTACTTTCTCGGCCTCTGTTGATCTTGGGGTGTTTCTTTCTGCTGAGCTAGTCCTGGGCTTTTCATGCTGTTCCTTTATATGGCTGTTAGCCTATATCTGCACTCCTTACTATGGTCAAGTACATTTCATACAAATACATACTTTTCTGAGTTATAGGCATGCACATCATTTCAGATGGTAGAGATGGGCTGACTTTGTTACCGATTGGCCAAAATCATGTTTTGTGCACCAGAATATAGAACCATAATTTAGCACATACTACTGTAAGAAGTTTTTGAAATTTGATATTATCTGAATTTCTGCATGAAAGGAATATAGCATAATATATTCTGACCTTCCCCTAAAGTCAGCAGTATAAACGAGCAATGAAAGAACTAAATGAAACCAAACAACCACTGAACACTTTGTTGTAAATAAACTGAGTAGCAAAATAGTATTTCAGTTTTCAAAAATTAATCTTAAAATGACAATCTCAAATTAATGACCATCTCAACGTGCACTTAGCACTTAGTGAAAGTTGCTTTGGCAGTAGTAGCCTGCACTTTGAGCAGCTGGTGGTGTTTTATAGAGTATAACAGGGAATAGAGCTGAATTACTATTCTTGGACTTACTATTGTCTGATGTCATTTAGCACATGAATGTTAGCTTTCTTGTAACATAGGTGTGGTGTTATTTGTATTTTGACTGCTTAACAACTTTGAGGGTCCAGTGAAATTTGGGAGGGAAAAATATGAACAAGACAAAACGTATGGGCTTCAGAACATTTTTGTTTACCACAGATTGTGAGTTCTTCATACGGACATGATGCGCAACTTTCTGTATCTGTAGCTTAGGTGTCTTGTTCCATAGCTGCCAAATACACATGGAAGCAACATGTTTTTAATGTCTGTTTGTTCATTCACACTTACATGTTACACTTTATCTGTACTTCAGTTTATTTGGCTTCTAAGAAAATAACAGAAGGTAAAAAAAATAAATAAAAGCAGGATGACGGTTGACATTTCTTTTACTTCTGTACAGGAAAAGTGTCATGTACAAAAACATAACGCTGCGCACGTTTACTAATAAGTCCAACTTTATCATCTCACATTGCAGTAGTGCTGTGAAAAAGCAAAGTGGGCTTCCTTTTTTGTTCTGAGGGGTGGTGTTTATTTGTCATAACCTCTTCAGCTGTTATTTTATTTTCAGTATTTTACTGTGCATCCGATGACCGTTCAGTGGTTTTGGGGGCGATACTGATCGTTGATCACCTTTTAGCATGATTAGTGATAGTCGATACCGATCGAGGGTGGAGCTGGATGGCGCGTTTAAAGGCACAGAAGTGATTCCTAACAGCAACACATTCAGTGCTCCTTCAGAAGCTCTGCCTCCCAAATTCATGGATGCGCATTGCCAAGGCAAACAACACTTTTGGCCATAAAACCCTTCACAAACTTTGTCCAAAAAAAATGCCATGATAAAGTTAAAGATAATGTTAAAGTGAAAAACAGCACAGAAAGCAGTATAACAAATGTTGGCTAGGTTGTAGGTTAGAATACTCACTACAGTTGCTACTGCGATGCTAACCACAAACATTAGCCACCAGACAAAACAGTACCGACCTATTGATTCTGTAAAACAGCAAAAATAAGTTAATGTTGCCCACCTGTCAAACAAAAACAGATCAACATCCTCATCCTTTTTCATGCCTTTTAACGTTTGATGAAGCTGAAGTCACCTTGTTATTTGACATCTTCTGTTTCAAATTTTCCTGTTCCACCTTAAATGATGCTGCAGTTTCATTCTGGTGCCTCAGGCTAGCGTAACCATTGAAATAAGCGGAGCTCTTATGTATTAACATCACTGATCAGCTCTCAGTATCACCTAAGTTAGAGAAATATTGGCCAATAGCATATTTGGGCTGAAAATAGGCTGATAACGATACATACTCAATCAGTCCTTCCATCTCAAGTGTGTTCTTGAACTGACTTTTGTAGGACACCCACTTCTAGGGAGAGCAGCATTCGTGCCAAATTGATTCCATTTGTAAACTATCTGCCTGACGGTGGACTGATAAAAGAGACTTGGAGGTCTATATTAAACATTTCTGGTTCTTCTGACCTTAATTTTTTTCTCAAGTTTTCTGCACACTTTTTCCATCAGTTTTGCACAGCAATAGAGCAGGTAACCAACAAAAGTGTGATTTATTGTATGGAAGGGCAGGTGAATGCCACACTTCAGTCCACTGGAACACCTGGCTTCAATTCATGAGGTCATTATTTTAGAAGGTTTACACGCTTGGTCGTTTAAACTGTTTGTTCAGTGAATATATTGCGCTGTAAACCTGTAGTCTTGAGTACTGTGTCTTAGATCACATTTAATGAGTTGTTCATGCGGCAATCCAGGTAATTGCAAAGACTCCACAAACCTTTTCACAAGTAGCACATTACTATGCTGTCTGGCAGTGGGACAGCATTCCGTTGTAGAAGACAAAAGCTCACATTTTCCATTGTAACCAAAGAGTCCACATTATCTAGAACTTTACTGTTGTAAGGATTAGCCATTAATGACTATCTTGACATTATTCAGTGTTATATATCCAATTTTGTCTCTTCTCACATTAATCTCACTCCAGAATACTATGGACTAGATGAAGGTAAAGGTCTTTTGCTTTTTCCATTCTTTTGCTTGTGCTTGTGCAATGCTGAACCTCTATGACCTTTTATGTGTGTGTGTGTGTGTGTGTGTGTGTGTGAGAGAGGGAAAGTGTGTGTGTGTGCTTTTCCTTTGCCTGTCAGTTTGTGATTGTGTACTTTTTTTTGGTCCCGAGTTACTAATTTCTGTGAACATGAACTTTCACAAGTGTGCTTAATGGCTATATTGAACAACCAGAAGGAGCAGTTCTAAAGAGTTTTTGGTTGCTGTATTTGTTCAGTGTTTATCCTTTTCACAGCGTTCCTTGGTTGTGGCTGATGAGCTGTTTTTTCTTCGAGCCTGTCAAAAATCTAAACCTAAATTCAGTAAAACTGAGTTCCATGGAGTGAATTGTTTTTCTGATTATTGCATGTATAAATTACTATTGTTTTGATCCTTTAACAGTATGTGATCTCATTGATTCCTGCAGATTTATACAGTACTGTGCAAAAATCTGAGAAAATGATATGTAAAGCTATTTATCACTAAGCATTTATTTGTTTAAAACAACTCTACAGTTGAATAAATACATTACATACAAAACATTCAAATGTGACCTGTACAAGAATGATGACATTCTATATATTGTGTTTTATTTTTTTCCCCTAGTATGTAAAATATAAGAGAGAATTTGTGCACTAAAACTTGCAGAAAAATACCATATTTAAGTGTGTTCATTGTAGAGGATGATAGCTTATTTACACTTAGAAAATCAATTAACATGTAATCTTTTACATATGACTGTATATTGTGATTTTACTGGCAAAACAAAAAACAAACAAAAGACTCACTTACTGTTAATGTTCTTGGCTGCCTAAGGCTTTTGCGCAGTACTGTATATTTTTAGTTTAGAAGTGGTAACTGTGTGAATAAAGCAAGCCTGTAAATTAATTTATTGATTATTTATAACTTTTCTAGGGCCCAGTGATTTTGCAACTGATTGCCATGTTTGCCTAAATGCTGTCTAGAGCTTATATCTATACGCATCAAATGTTTCAGTGTAAAAGTAACCGTTTAGGGTCTGCCTTGTCATATTCATTATGATGTGAGAGGCCAGACTGACCCTGGATCAGTGCTCTCACTCTGAGACATTTGAGATATTTGACACCTGGACTCCAAGTGTGGCCATCTGAAATGCTGTTTTCTGTTATGATAATTCTGAAATCATTTGTTTCCTCAGCCAGGGACTACGAGATCCAGAGAGAGAGGATTGAGCTGGGTCGCTGTATAGGAGAAGGACAGTTTGGAGACGTCCACCAAGGAGTCTATGTTTGTCCGGTAGTCAACTTCCTGTCCACTGCATGTGATCGTAGCACACCTGCAAAAAAACATTTCAGTACATTTCAGTACAGTTTGTCACAATTGCTTGATTAAACTTGATTACTCAATTTCTCAGTACTTGGTGAATCAGCAATAATTGATTGATTAGTTGTCAGTTTATATTATAATAATGCATATTTTAAAGGGCCCATATCATGAAAACCATACAGCCTGTAAATTGAAACTGTTTTACATTAATTGTTTTTGTGATGTCACAAAAAACAGCACATTTGCATATATCTGCTTATTTAGCCCCACCCATTCATAATAAATTTAACAGCATGTTTAATTCTGAGGGGCAAAGAGAGGTTGGAAAATGGTGAAATGAATTATGACTGTTTTTGGTGCACAAGTCCACACAAACATTGTAAGTGTAATGTGAAAATAAAGTTGAAGAAAAGCATGTTATATGGGCTCTTTAAATGTCCCTGTTAAAATAAAAAATAAACTGATGGACACGTGTTTCTGTGACAATGTTTTTATATTTGGTTAATGAAGTCATTTTAAATGCTCTATGATTTTATCCTTTTCCAGTGAAGTAATTTGAAATCTTTGAACGTTTTATACATTGTTTTTGTTCAGTTATGATTTTGTTTGTTTTTGATAAATTTTGGAAAATAATCTGTTTATTGTTCTGTAGGAGAGCCCTGCCCTCTCAGTGGCCATAAAGACCTGTAAAAACAGCACCTCTGACAGTGTCCGAGAGAAATTTCTCCAGGAGGCCTGTAAGTACTGATCATATACAATATAAACACTCACATATACAGTACCCTTGTGTGCATGTTTTGCAACTGTGTATGTATTTGTTGATTCTTAATTGCTGTGTATTGTCAACTCCATCTTTCACTTTCGGATCTTTTATGAAATCGCTGTGCTAGTCTAAGTAATTTACTTGAACATTTAGGTAGGCCTGTACAGAATTTTCAGAATCCATAATGTGTCACGGTGTTGTATAGCCAAAATGTTTTGTGTGTGTAGTTAATCACGGTTAATGCTCATTGGTCTTATTTGCTCAAAATTGACGATTAAGAAGGATTTTTTCCACTTAAATGTGCTATAGAATGAAATATATTTTCATTGGCGTAGTTAAATACCAAGAGCTCGGTACCTGGAACTGACGTACCTTAACAGGAATGAAAATGGAGGCTGCGTGCAGAAATGTACCATTCCAGGCCATGACAGGTTGTCGGCACTTTTCATACCTTTCTCAAGGAACCAAACTGTCAATGTTAATGGCTGAAGTTCATCTTTAAATGAGGCTGACGCTGGCTGTCTATTCACAGCTTCTTAATCAAATGTTCCGTTCCACCTACACCTTGTACAGGCACTAGAATGTAACTGTGGCACCATTTAAGGTGGAACAGAATATTCACACAACAAGCTGGCGAATAGAAAGCCAACTTCAGCTCACACGTTTAACAGAATCCCGGACAACTTTAATTTGAAGTTGTTAGTTGCTCTGCACATTTCACTCTGGACAGTTTCTCAAATCTTGGACAGTATTGAACAGGCTTCACTCAGCATTTGACACTGAAGAGATGGAGGGGCAATTCCAAGTTTTGTAGCATCACAACCCCATGCTGTGTGATTTTATCCACTTTTTAACAGTTGAAGCTGGGTTATCTTAAATCGAAAGCTAACAACTGTAATTTACTTCGTGTTATTGTTGAGATTGAAAGAAAGCAGCTGGTACAGGTAACGTTAGCTACTAGCAAGCTCCAGGTAACTAGCATAGCCAGCAAAATGACCTATGATGGCCTAGCTTATTTACATGGAGGTTCATTTTATTTTTCTGTCTAAGCCTGTGTAGACATGTTGCTTCTGTGTGAGCCATCGTGGTGCTTCACTGTAAATCAGCTAATGATGAGCAGAACTCATCAAATTATTCATAAGCGCACCATAAAAGTGAAAACCAGCTTGTTTCATTCTAGGGCCAAATCATAGTAAAACCACATCATATGTAAAACCACATCTGGGCATATTTTACCCCGACCAAAGTCACATACCTTCTGTGTAGACATCAGAGAACAATTTCAAAAAACTGAATAAATGCGTTTTATGGCATCTTTAATATGTAGTGCATTTTACTATAGCTATGTAAGTAAACAAATTAAGCTTAAACAGAATATTTTACGTCCAATAATTCATTGGCATTATTGTCATTGTGAGAATGCAGGATTCACGTGAACTTGAACATGGAAGTCATTTGATTTCACTTAATCGCTTGATTTCTATAGAATAAACAGTTTATTACCAACATCCAGTTAGAGCAACAGTGGCTGCATGTTCCAGCCAATGATTGTATATATCATGTATATCATGTAAACATTAAAGGGGTCCAGGTCGTCTGTGATTGTAGCCTCTTGCTCTCATTCGTGTTCATACAGCTTGTGGATTCTTGATACAGTGGAAGCTATCAAGGAAAACTGTAACTTTGTGCTTTATTATTGGTTTTTATATTACTTCTTGATTGTCCCATAGGCCTCCCAGAAGCACTGTTCAGCATGCTGCAAGTATTGCTTTAAAAGCCATTTAAAAGCTGTATTTGAATAAGAGAGCTACAATCATCATACTAACATACAGCATGCATTAAGGGCATTTAAAGTAAATAACATTAAAAAGGTAGTGGCTTTAATAATTCGATGCAATATTAATGCATTCACTTTGACAGCCTTAGTGTAAATAAGTGAATATGCATTGTTGTATATTGTATTGTTGATGGCTGTGTATTCATACCTTCTATGGTATCATGAATACATATTCAAATGTCTCCAGCTCATCTGTGTGTTTCCTCAGTCAGCTCGTTTATGGAGACAGAGTCCTGTAACTTTGAAGCACAGTGTGATTTCACCCTGACCTCACTCAGCAAGTGTTTACATTAACTTTCCATAACAATAAGACATAAGAATGTAACTGAGTGAAAGACAAAGAAAAGTGTAAACATTGTGAAGTTGTAAGAGAGCAGCTGTTGTTAGAGAGCCTCCTTATGTCTTGTCCAAGTCTTACAGAGGACTCCAACATTTATGTGTTTTGAGTGTGAGTTTGGAGGTACGTTTTAGTGTCTTGGAGAGTGTATACACCAAACAGAACTCTTCATGTCTTTTTATTTTACCTCTGTTCTTCATTGTGGATGTTTTAACTTTTACTTTATCTAGCATCACGTTTATGCCTGTGTTCTCTCACTAGCAGAATATGAGTTGTTTATGTCTATATCTGATCTCCCCAAATACAGTTTAATGCTGTTAACATATCTATTGTGGTCTATTATGGAGTCTCCTTGAACTCACATAGTCTCATTATAGAATATCCCTTAGTTAGTTTAGTTGTTGGTTTTTATTTACAATCCTTGAATGTAGTCTTGGGACACTCTCTGAATACAAGTTACGTCTTGCTCGTTTATTATTTTCTAAAGTAAATGTATCATCTATTCATTTGCATCCATCAGTGAAGTTATAATAACCAGCAATAATGACCACATTTACAAATTGAATCTCAAAGTTCAATTTTAGTTAATTAACAGAAAACTTAAGTAAGGCAAACACTTGATTTTAGAATCAGTGTGTCTGTAATCTTTCTCACAGACAGGATTTTTTTGTCAAAACACAATTTCCACAATGCGTCAACAAATCAAACAGTCTAAAAAAAAAAGGAATAATAGAAGTGTCCCAGAACGTTTGAGTGCTGTATGTGTTCATATGTTGTTATTTCAGTCATAGTTATGTTTTAGTTTTTGTGGACACCAACTTGAACCATATGCCCAGGCAAAAAGGCATTCTCATGATGATGTGTTTATCAGACTGAAGTAGCTCATGCTATGTAAATGTAGTCGTTAAAGTATCTCTCCTTGTGCCTCTGCAGTGACCATGCGGCAGTTTGATCACCCACACATTGTAAAGTTGATTGGTGTCATCACAGAGAATCCGGTTTGGATCATTATGGAGCTCTGCACTCTGGGAGAGGTGAGCAGTTTGTTATTTTTAAAGATACTGCAAGAATTAGACCAAGGATACTGGCCCTAGACCAGCATAGGCTGTTAGGCAAATCAGGAAAACTTCACTCAGACAGACCAAATTTTACCAGATTAATTTTTCATAACACCTGTTCCATAAATGTTCAGTGACTTAATCACAGAGCTTACAGGACTTAAAAAGAAGTTATTATACATAATGGTGCACCAGGAATGATTTAAATACATATTTTTAAGTGTGTGTGTGTGTGTGTGTGTGTGTGTGTGTGTGTCCATGGCTAGGAAGTTCAGCTAGTTTAAGGCGGCATAATAATAATTTCATAAATCTTTGGACATGATTGCTATATCGAGTGGGAAAAATTGCTGAGTGGAAGATGCAGTATTTCTATTAATATCTATGTACTGACGCTGAGCTATCAGACTGTCTAACAAACATCAACTCTATTACACAAGACCTATATCTTATACCTGTAAGTTATGTCAGTGCTTTTCTTACAAGAATGAAGTACCTCAGGAAAGGGGAGCATTAGTTGTCCAACTGTCTATATCCATGCTGTCACTGAGTGATTGATATAAACTCTGACAAATGAAATGAATTACTTTAAAGGGCCCATATTCCTTAGAATTTAGCTGGTTGTTTTTGTTACTGTGCCTCAAAGACCGAAGTATATTAAATCAAACAGAACTGTATGTATTTATTTATTTTTAAAAATGGGAAATTGTTTTTTTTTGTTTTTTTTTTTACGATATGGACAGTTTAAGCACTGCTTTGCATTTCTGTGTGAATGATGTAATCAGGAGGAGAAACATGAGCATTAGATCTGTGTGTGTGTGTGTGTGTGTGTGTGTGTGTGTGTTTGTGTTTATGTATATAGTAATATATTATAAAATACTATACATATAAAATACTAATCAAATCAATCAGTTCTTTATCAGTTGCTCTCATGTTTGAATACATTTTTCCTCTTATTATTACAGTTGCGCTCTTTCCTGCAAGTGCGTAAGTACGGTTTGGATTTAGCCTCATTGATCCTGTTCTCCTATCAGCTCAGCACAGCACTCGCCTACCTGGAGAGCAAGCGCTTTGTGCACAGGTGAGTGTGTCTTGTGCATAGAAATAAACTAGACTTCCCTTGTTTCCCGTAATGACCCCGTCTGCTGCCTTCCAATTAGGGTTTAGCTGACGCCACATTGCATTTCATCTCTCTCACAATAGGTGCTCTCCATGACAACCCGTCTGTAATGAAGTCATGCTCCTTCAGTTCTGCTTCTGCCTGTGGCTTTAAAATGACATTTGCTTTCTCCTGCAGGGACATAGCTGCTAGGAACGTGCTGGTGTCATCTGTAGACTGTGTGAAACTGGGCGACTTCGGCCTGTCCAGATACATGGAGGACAGCTCTTATTATAAAGGTTTTACCTCCGTAGTCCACTTACCAAATGCAACTACACTCACTGCATGACAGATAGAGACAAGTTTATACTGGCAATATGAGAAATATCACAAATATATTTTTGGTGCTGTATGTTTAAAATCTTTATATAACTGTCAAACACTGCCTGTACCTAATTTATTTAGGTGGGCTTTCTTTAAATAGAACTGTTTTTGGCTCTTCATTTTGACAGAGACATATGCAAAGCACTGCTGTCATAGTACAAGATATGTACTTATATTGTGCTTAGCATGTCTGCTTATTAGTCTTGTAGTACATTCCACAGCTTTGCCAATTTCTGTTTAATAATGCATTCCTTTTCTGTGTTTAATAAGTGAGTTCACCCTTGCTGTCTAAGTGAACTGAGCCGTATTCTCTGTCTCTTTAGCCTCTAAAGGGAAACTGCCTATTAAATGGATGGCGCCAGAATCTATTAACTTCAGACGCTTTACCTCATCCAGTGATGTGTGGATGTTTGGTAAGAGAGTGTGTGTGTGTGTGTGGAAAAGAGTGTCTGATTGTGTAATTGTGAACATTTAGAGAGAACAGAAGCTTATGGAATTTTGGTGTGTGTGAATAAAGCAGTTCCGTTTATTGTGTACGTGTGTGTGTGTGTGTGTGTGTGTGTGTGTGTGTGTGTGTGTGTGTGTGTGTGTGAGATTCCAGAGAGCTGCAGACATTTGACTCTGATTTGACTGATTTGAATCTCTCATTCAGCTCACATTGGTGTAAATCATCTCTTCCAGTCTCTCTGTGTCGTGAGCTTCATGAGTACATGTGCAGTTTGCAGCTGTTTTCTCTAACTCTACCAATACCAAGTTAGGGTACATGCATCCCTTTGGGGTATGCCTGTGTTGGGTTTAGGTCAGAAAATTCTGGCTTTCACTTTCATGCTTGCTTTCTGTTAAAGAAATCAGGTAGATTTTTTCACAGTTCCAAAGTTCAGTGTTAGAAGTTGCATTTAATGCTTATAATGATCCAAATAATCCCAAACACATTCAGTGGTGTTGAGGTCTGGACTCTGTGGTGGTCAGTCCATTATTCAGAGAACACCAGCAGCTTCTTTGCTTGATTTGCACAGTTTTGTTTGTCTATTTCATTGCCTCTGTAGGGGCTTCTTGGCAGCTACACATCATTTCAGACTCATTGTATTGAAATTAAAGATGAAAACTTTAAATTCTGTTTATCTGATGGTGACAGTTTTGGTGGTCTACCAGGTCTTGCATTGTTGTTACTTATTTTCCTTAGACACTCCCCTTCCCTATGCAAGTTGAACAAACTTGAACATAATGGCTACTTTGACTAGAAATTAAATAAATGAAGGTTAGTCTCTGGCTTTTGCACAGTACGTACAGTACTGAGACAGATGACACAAGGAACTTGGCCATCCATAAGATCCTGAGCAAGAGACAGGGCAGTGTCTGAGCATTTGGCATCCCAAAGTGGCATCCTACCCCAATCATTTTACGTTGTAAGCATGAATGAAAAAGAATGAGTACTTAATTAATTTTAATCAGAAAAAACAAGCTAAGTGGAAAAGAATGAAAACTACTAGAATGAAAACTAAATCTAGTCACAGACTCGGTGTGGAAAATGATGCAAGACTAAAATTCTTTCCTGTACAACCAATTGTGGATTTACTCGTGTCATATCAAGCACATCCTTCCCATCAATCTGTGGTGACTCATCAATCATTCACAGTGTGTGCGCTGATGTACAAATCGTTGTGCCAGTTTCCTGGACTTGGATTAAAGATTAGATTAAATGTATTTGAAACTTAGATTATGCCTAGACTAAAAAACAGAGGGGATACACAACAGGAGGTTTAATATCGAAGGGGACACAGGACTGTGAAAGGTTCGGGAACTGCTGCTCTTACATATTTGCATCATGACATTGAAAAAAATGACTATGTTAATGGGGAATTCCTGTAATTTTTTTTAGTCATTCTGAGTGGTCTAATGTAAAACGCTTCAGTCTAGAGGAACTTGCGGAGTCAGAATTGTTCATAGTAATGGTGATAGGAACCAGATGTCTGAAACATTTAATGGCCCTAAAAGCAGGTAATTACATGAAATAAATATTACCTGATGCCCGAGAGGTTTTATAAAGGTTTGAGAAGGTTTTGCTAGAAATGTTATTTTAAAATCCATTCATGGTAGAGAGGGATGTGCAGGGTTTTAGGTGTCTTAGGGCAAAATAATACCCAAGAAAACAGATTTATCACTATATTGCTGTTATCAACATCACATACAAAAACTCGGAAGACACATCTAAGTTCACTGGTCATTTTGGATAGCAAATAAAATTGCTGTAATTGCTTTGTAGACATTCTGACCCCTGGTTCCTATCACCACTGCTGTAGAGAAAGCTAAGCTGGTAAGTTTTTCTACAATGCACCATTTCACATTCAACCTCTCTGAAAGACTTCACAGCATTTTGAAAAATTGTTAGAATTCCTTTTTAAATCATAGCTTAAGATATTGAATTACATAGGCGGCTGAAGATCCTGCATATTCACATGGGCATAGTGACTAAATTAATATCTGCTATGTGATTGGTTTGGTTTGAGTGTTTCCTCCTGTGTTTCTGTTGGTTTGCTATGCCGGCAGTAAATTCCTCCTCATGTTGTGTTTCCAGGTGTGTGTATGTGGGAGATCCTGATGTACGGGGTCAAACCCTTTCAAGGTGTGAAAAACAACGATGTCATTGGCCGTATTGAGAATGGCGAGCGGCTAGCCATGCCACCCAACTGCCCCCCGACCCTGTACAGCCTGATGACCAAGTGCTGGGCGTATGACCCCAGCAAGCGGCCCCGCTTCAACGAACTCAAAGCACAGCTCAGGTCAGTACCTAGAATGACACTGTATGATGAGCATATGCGTGATCTTTTTTTCTTCAGTTCAGTGTGTCCTTGCATTGTCTACCACTTTAAATGCTTGTTTTGTCTGCCTGCATACACATATCTTTGTGTGTGCTAGAAAGTATTTTTGCGTTGACACCAGGGGGCGCTAAAAACCTGTGAATAGTAATTTGAGTTTTTTTAGATCAATGTGCATGCGTTATGTCTCAGAAATATGTAGTGGGACATAAAAAATTAGATAAATTTCCACTTCAACAAGACAGTTGTATTTTCTTACATACCTAAAGATTGATTTTTGCTGGGTATTGTCGACTTTTGGCACCGTCTTTAGTTTCCTAAAATGCTAAGTTTTTCAGGGCAGGCAACAAAACTGATCCTAGACTGGAATGAAAGGGCAAAGTACCTGGCAGTCCAGCAGGAGAGCCATGTGACCTTTGAGGTTAGTCATGAATACATGCCGGGGAAGTTCCCTCTCTAGCCCTGACTAAGTCCACCAAGTCTGTGACACTTCCTGTCTACAGATAATCTCATGAGTTGCATCGCAACGGTATCAATCTCATAGTCAGAGCCACAGCCCCTCAGCCTCTCTTATATTCTGTATTCATTTGTTACTCTTTCCTTGTCTTAATCATTCGCTGACACACATGCACACGCCCGTTCCCGTGCACAGGTAGAGAATTAAGGTAAAGACACTGTAGGCTACGAGAAATGTTAGACATCACTGATGATGCAAGTGAGCGTTCCCCGCTCAGCATTCCCATTCATGTACACACATGCTTGCAGTGCCGGGAAGCTGAGAAATCACGCAGTGCAAGTCACTGATGCGTTTTCAATACATCATTTTGGGCAAATTCATTTGAAAGGACATATATGCTTGTTTAGCTGGCGAGCGTACTCTTTATCCATTTGTTTACACATTCAACATCTTTCCATTTTGTGGGTCACTAGTCATATTGGAGCTGTTAGTGGTATAAAAGGAGCCATTGTTTATATATGGAATCTATTGTTTTGAAGTGCATTCATAAGGCCCCTCATAGATGTAATAAATTTTGTGATGGTGCATATTTGAACATAGCACCATCACAACAATTTGTAGTTCTGAATGCTGTGGTGGCTGAGCACAAGGAAAGTATTATGGCCAGACTGCTCTTTGTACAGTATGCACATTAGTACAGTTCGTAAAGCACCTTCATGCCCCCCCACACCCCCCCCCCCCCCCCCTCTATCTCTCTCTCTCTCTCTCCCTCCCCCCTCCCTCCCCCTGACTCTCTCTCTCCCTCCCCCTGACTCTCTCCCTGACTTCCTCCCACATCAGTCGTTTTCCAGGTTTTCCTACTGCGCCACTGTGTCCTGGAAACGATGTAAATATTTGCACTGTTAACACTATTTATACCACATAATCAGGCCCATAAAAGGCACTGGATGCACCGCCTCAGGTGTGGCTAGTATAATCATCTATTAGGGAGTTACGTCTTTAAATGCTGCATATGTGTATGCTTTTTTCAGTGGTCTTTGTGTTTTTGTTGCTGAAGTGTGCAGTGCATTTTCTCCATGCCTTCAGATGCTGTAAAACACATACATAAGGTTACTGTTTATGTAAGCTGTTGTGCTCCATCATAGTGCTAATGCTAATGCATTTTAATGTTAGTATGAGACTGTAAGCCTGTTACTGATAATAATTAGGGACACAAATATGTGGCCACTGACAATATTCAACCAAAAATGGTCAAAAGTGACACTTGGTTTTTGGGATCACTGTTCATGTTGAGTATGCCAAAGAAGTTGAATACCACAGGTTTGACACCACTAATCAACGCCGGTATCAGTATCAAAAAAAGAAAAAGTGTTGTCATGTTGTTTCTACAACAGAAGCAGAAAAGAAAGTCTCTGTGAGCTTGACAATGATTTCTGTAGCCACAGGTTTTGAAATGACAGGAAAAAAGTCCTACTTATACCTTAAAATAATGGAGTTCATTGCTTTGGATGAATAGCTGTTCTCTGTTGTTGAGGACAGTGAATTTTGTGGCACATTAATATGTGACTGTGATTGTAAAGCTGTTGCTGATAATAGTTAGGGATGCACCAATTATTCCGCCACTGAAAACATTTAGCCAAAAATGATATCCTAAGTACTGTAATAATTTTAGTAAGTTTATTTTATGCAAACTGTTTATCAGCTTGTTTTTGTTTTTGGTGTTAAGCTCAGTGTGTCTAAAGTTTTAGTTTTGGCCAATGATGAAGAGGTTTATGTCCTGTTTTAGAGGAAACAGAGATGCTGCCTCAGGACTAAGGCTAATTGATGATAACCAATCAACCACTAGATCACAACCGGAATCAAGGGTCCATATTTTTGGGGTGTATTTTTACATTTGTGTGCCACTCTGTGTCAGACACCTGGCCATGAAACAGAACAAATGCTAACTTTACTGTAAGAGGTTCCAAACTATGAAAGTAGATATAGGTGGCAATACTGCTACCCAGTCTCTGACATTGGCTTTATGGCTAACTGTTACTCAGTTGCAGTCCAATACATTGCACACTTTAGAATGCACTCCCTTTTTTAATGCAGGGGCCCTAAGCCAAGTGTAACAGGCTGCCCCTGAGTTTAGCAGTCTAGCTGCAGGGAGAAGGCGAGAAACAGCTGGACCCTTCTCTTTTCTCTTTGTTTTGCACATATGCCAGCAGATGAAGGTTTGGGATGGGTATATGCAGGTAAGTGCATTGGATTATAAATGTATAAAATGTATAAAATATGTTTTGAGACTGTACTGTGCTTCTTTAGACCTGGGGGAAGTTGCTAAAAGTTTAAATCTTTTGGATATACTTGTGCTAGCACTACATTTTTAGAGGATTTTAGAGCAGTGATTCCCAACCCTGGTCCTTGGGGACCCCCTACCCTGCACATTTGAGTGTGTGCCCTGCTCCCAACACACCTGATCCAACTAATCTGCTAATTAACAAACCCTTCCTGAGTTGAAGTGGCTTTGCTTTGGCAAGAAAACATAAAAATATGCAGGGCAGGGGGTCCTCCAGGACCAGGATTGGGAACCAGAGTTGTGATTTCACTCTCCTTAGATTTCTTCAGCTGTATGTTGAATACTGTTCTAAAAGCTTTACGTTAAGGTCTTGGGAGTCAGGCCCGAATGATGTAACGGTTAGCCATTGATACTGGCAGATATTCAGATCCTGTGAATTTAAAATCCATCTGATAAAGCACTGGTATTTAGCAGCTTGCTTTCTATTGCACAAAGCTTCTAATTGAAAGAAAAAGTTTCAGTTTTTACTATTTAAAGGTCTCCTGCTCATATGCCAGCGCAAAGAGAAGCACAAAATGCAGTCATGGCTGAAATAACAAAACATGTAAATACATTGAGACTTAACCTTTAAACGTGAAGAAACTGACAATAATGTCGGTCAGTAAAGTACTGTTTAACTAAAACTACCACAATAAATTATGTCGACTTATATCATTGATAATCAGAAATTTTTGATGCTTAAAACGGTAGTGATTACAAATTTTTTAAATCATATTGGTCATGTCCTATTTGAATGGAAACGTGTAGGTAAAGCTCTTCATGGGCAGACAGGCTTAAGGGGTCTCAGTGAGCAGCAGAATTTCAGAATGATCTGCACAGGTGTTTCCTCCCTCTGTCCTGTCCTTCATTCATCTGCTGTCAGCACACTTGCTGGGCCTGTCAGGCAGAATAGTGCTTCTATATATAACTCTTCTTGGAGCCTAGTTGTGGGGCTTTAACTGTATTCTCTCACCATTGAGTTTTGAATGTCCATGCGTCTCACACCTCCATCTCTCAGTTCACATCTCAGAGGGAGAACTTACCAAGTCCACAGCAGGTATGAAAATTACTTTGGCCAGAATTCATTGTGGACAAAGCTTAAAATAGATTTTGCTATTGAGTACGTAGAGAACTTCAGAATAGCTTTGTTTGTGAAACATGGTTGTCATATGTTTTTAATTGTGACTCTTATTTACTGTAATGTTCATAACCGTGACTTCTTGAATCTTGAGTTGAATTGATGGTTGGCTTATAGTTACATATAAATGAGTTGCCTCTCATTTGTAATGGTATAAGGTGTTCTATGACAATGTAGTTTATGAGCTCATTCTTCCTTGGAACTCAGTTGTGATCTGCCTGCGTGGGCATGCCTGGTTTAAGACTCCTGCATACAGACTTAAACACAGTCTCGGTGTGAAAAGCTCTCGTTGTAGGAGCACGTGTGGCTGGATTTGTTCCCACTGTCTGAACTCTGGCTGTAGGAAAGATGTTGTTAGCTCACCGTGGTGCTTTCTGTCGATCTTTCTTCAGCACTATCCTTGCGGAGGAGAAGGCGCAGCAGGAGGAGCGCAGTCGGATGGAGATGAGGCGACAGGTCAACGTGTCCTGGGACTCAGGAGGGTCAGACGAGGCACCCCCAAAAGTAAGTACATCACATTCATATAGCAGTTATGTCACTTAAGTTAAATTCTCATGCAGACTGTAAATGAAAATGTGATGAGTGTGAGTATGTGTCTTGGTCAGCTGATATAACTAAACATCTACAGTGTATATTTTTGTATGTTTATTATTCCATGGCAGTGGTTTAGTTTCACTGCTGTTCACTGATGCATCCCAGAGAGACTAGGTTGAAAAGAGGCCACAGAGGCTTGTTTACCTGTTTAACAAATTATTACCTGTCACTGCTTTCCATGTAGTTGTTAGGTCAGCAAAACATGTTTATTTGATATATCCAGTATGTTACTTTAGATTTATTTTCTATTAATATGAAATGTATTCAAGATTAAATTTGATGTGTAGTACTGAATGCTAATACCTTAGTGATATGGAAGTGTAATCTTTATATGTGGATTTTTTTTTTTATATACTGACATGTATAAATGTGTGATAAGTGATTATTCTCAGCTTCATGATTTTTAAGCCAATAGCTTTTTCATCCAGACTTGGGATTTTACAGGGCCAGTTTCTCACCTCTGATAAAGCTGTGATGTCACTTTTAGATGAGTGAAAAGTCTCTTCAAAAGTGATTTGCTTCCACAATACCAAACCTATCCTTTAATCCTCGGCTTTATCTCCTTACCTTAACTTATCTTAACTTGTGACTGTGATTATTAGAGATCCTTGCACAAAGCGCTTACAGATCCTCATTAACTGCAAATGCTGAGATGCTGTTCTGTTCATGTGGCAGTGATTCCTAACCCTCTTTATGGAGAAACTTAGCAGTTTCCTTCTCCAACACACCTGATCCCATTCAGCTAATTAACAAGTGATTGGGTTATTTCATATTTGTAATATGGCATAATCTCATTTGTTATGGCTGGATTCTTCTCCCTCTTCCATAGGTGTACTTTCTATTACTGACTCCAGACTTTACACGTTCTCCTGAATGTAATGTTATCTGTATACTTCATCATCTAGAAAGGTTCTGTCAAACTTGTGTAAATAATAAGCTCATTAACTTTTCATTATCTTTTATCTCTCAATGAGTGTTATAGACCCCTTTATGGTTGGTAAAATGTTTTAATTCTAAGTTGAATCATCTTATTGTTTAGTTACTAAGTTGTATGTAATATCTATGTAGTAGTATGTATTATTCAGTGACTACACCATGTATTCAGAGGTTTGTAAGCACCTGCTCTAATTTTCTTCTGAAATTAAGGGTGTTAAAGGAGATTTTTGCTGCCTCAGTCTTTTGGAAAGACTTTACATCAGATGTTGGAACATTGATGTGAGGATTTGATTGCATTCAGGCACAAGGGCATTAGTGAGATCAGGCACTGATGTTGGATAATTGGTTCTGGATCACTCCGACTCCTTACCCTAGTGAGCACAGTTCCACTGCTTCACATCCCAGTGCTTTGAGATGGGGGCTTTATTTCCCTGTAGCCAGTGCTTGTTATGGTGATCTAAGGCTTATATGTGGCTGCTCCAGAGCACCTCATTGTATTGGCAGTGCTTTATTGTGGAGATTATAGAAGTTGTATGTGTTCAGTTGAGGGCTTGTTTCAGTAATGGGACATGTAGTATATTATTTATTATTTGGTAATTACTGTACAACTTATAAGTTTTGTACTTTTGAGAGTGAGGAACTGAAGTGTAGGCCCATATACACACTCCTTAGGGTTTAAGGGGATAAATAATTAAATGGCTTAAGGAGACCTTGATTGTCTTAATGTTCTTAAAATAATTTTTAGTTGATAGAGTTGATACGGTAGATAGAGCCACACCTTTCCAGTTTAGTTTTAGCCTGCCCATATTATGTTTTCGTAGAAAATTCTTTCCAGGATTCCTTCCGAAAGTCAGGCGTGAAGGCTACCAGTGTTTGACTGCTGGTGATTGATGGGTCTGGCTGGTCACCTCCTGCTAGTTCTCTAGCCTGCACTCTTTCTGCTGCTTTGTATGTGATTTCAGAGATTCTTGCAAGCACGCTTTCACCCTCTGCTGAGCTTATTCATGACCATGCAGTCATTCAGACTGCTTCTGCACAAGTGTTCATGTCTGTCTGTCATTGTCACACTATCATGAGTGTTGTACTGTAAATGTCTTAGCTGTGGCTCATGTTTGCGTTCTTGTCATGCCTTTCTAAATATCTCCTCTTGTCATCCATGTTCTGTGTCCTTGTGTTGTCTGGCTTTGCATGTGTGCCTGTTTGTGTGTGTGTGTGTGTGTGTGTGTGGGTGTGTGTGTGTGCGTGTGTTCACGTGCGCACTCCTGTCTGTTTGTAGCCCTCCCGCAGACTCTTCCTGCAGCACAGTGTTAGCATGGACTGTTTGTCTGCTGCTCCTGCTTGTCCTGTGCAGAAGTCTTTCAGCTCTCAGCTCTCACTCAGCTTCTTCCAGCCCCCTGCTGTCCCTGTACTAGCGCTGCACTCCCAGACTCCCAACCAACCCCACCAGGGGCCCAGGCTCCGGAGGAGGCCTTCACTGCCTCCCACGGACTCCCAAGCTGCCCAATACCCTGCCTGCGGTCCCATGGCGCCACCCTGCTTCCCCCCACGTCAACCAAACCTGAACCAACATGCTCACTATCACCCCTTACAGGCAGGTCTGATAGGAACATAAACAGGACGACTGAATGTCCTATAATCCCTATGAAATACGCAGCTGCCAGTTTATTATGAACACTTAGCTGGTACTTTTGTAGCATTTTGTAGATATACGATAACTGATGTATCAGCCCCTCTCTACCCCATCCATCAATGGAATGGGACCACTGTAGGACTACCACTGACCAAATATTATTTGAACAGTGGACTGTTCTCAGCACAGAAGTGACACCATGTCAGGGGGTGTGTGTGTCTGGCATTAGTATCAGGAACAGTAGTACCAGGCTTCGTACACCATTTAGTGTCACTGCTGGGTTGAGAATAAATATATACAGCCAGCAGTGGTCAGAAAATCAAGAGCTACACAATGGGTGATACAAATTGTGCAGAGAAAAAGATTAGCTTTAATCTTAAACTGTACAACTATAAAGTTTATCAACAAGGTAGCTGTGTCTAATAATGTGGGCAGAAAGTGTACATAGTATTACAAACTCCAGCAGCCCTAAAACAAACTTAAATTAGTGCAATATACGCTAACTACCACTACCATCTTGCTACCACGGCTCCTGTGCTGAGAATGATCTACGTCCCAGACAATATCTGGTCAGTGGTTGCCCCGTGGTGGTCCGTTTCCACTGATGGACAGGATAGGGGGGACTGAAAAATTGTAAATCTACAAAATGCAACTACACTACCACTAAAAAGTTTGGAATCCCTTTATGTTAATGAATTGTATTGTATTATATCAGCACTTTCTAATACGAGGCATTCTAAATGTTAATTTTATTTTAAAGTAAATCATATGTAGCTTTCTCAGTTGTTTTTTAATCATCTACAGCTCTGTTCATTATTATGAACACATCTGACATTACCTTTTTTTAACAACTTCCTGGTTTCCAACTAATTATTTGAAAGCTATGAAATTGCATGGAACTGGATTAAATACTGAATTCATTTCATAAATTTATCTGAAACCACATTGATTTTATGTTGTTGAAAACATTGATTTCAAACTTTTGGTCAGTGATTCCAAACTTTAGATATTGGTGTGTATGGCAGTGATTCTCAAATCAATCCTTGAAGATCCTTGGACAGTCCACATTTTTGCTCCAACCCAAGTTTGGACACATATTGATAGAGTACAGATGTGGACTGTCTTGGGGTCCCTGAGAACTGGTTTTCGAACCACTGCTGTATGACACATGTATTTGATAAAATGACCAATGTGTGTAGATCAGGGTGCCCGATTCTGGTCCTAGAGATTTACCACCCTGCAGCTCCAACCCTAATCTAACACTTGATCCAGGTAATGAAAGCCTTCAGAGGCATCTGAATCTTAGAGCCAGGTGTGTTGGCTCTGAACTCTTCAGGGTGGTAGATCTCCAGTACCAGGATTGGAGCACCACTTGTGTAGATAAACTGGCAACTTAGTGTTTCTTGATTCCACATGAATGCATGTAACGCAGACTTAAACATAAAGTGACTGCCTTTACTTGCAACTCACATGAATGTGCATGAACTCATTGTACGTCAGTTAAATTTTGTGCTTGTATGAACCGCCAGATCTGTGCTCTACATAAGGATACTAAAAATGTCACAATGTGGTTTCACAACAGGCAAAAGGGCACATTTGGCCACTGCACCAGCCTCATTTTGACTTGATTGTCTGTGTCTTGTCTGTGCCACTGTGTTTCACTCTTTATTCTCCTGTTTTTCGGATCTTTCTTTCCCCTGCTCCTCCGGAGGGTTGGTTGCGTGACTGTCTCTATGAGAAGGTGTTTAAGGTAGACGTGCCTTTAAACTGTTCTCTCCATTCACAGCTGAATGTGGCGCAACATCTCAACCAGTCAGAAGAGGACTTGATGCTTTCACTGTCCAGTCCTGTCTTGTAATTTCTAATATCCATCCCACTCCTTCCCCATGTGTAACAAGCTACTAAATAAGAGTACATAAAAAGAGCTTCTTTTACTTTTTGGGTGTTTAACTAACTGCTTGCCTTTTTAATGCCTGTTTTGGTTTTTACCCTTCTACAGCCTGGACTACCTGTCCACACAAAATAATTTTGTGTGTGCCTCTTTAACCTTTGCTAACTGCAGTCCCTCATCCAAAGGCAAATAAGGGTGTATAGTGACAGAGGGGTGTGCATGTGTGTGTTTGCAGCCCAGCAGACCTGGTTATCCTAGTCCACGTTCCAGTGAAGGATTCTATCCCAGTCCTCAGCATATGGGCCAGCACAATCACTATCAGGTACACAAGTTCTCTCTTACATTCAACACATTATCTACAGTGCTGTGAAAAAGTATTTGCCCCTCACCCAGTTTCTTCTATTGTTGCTAATTTGTCACATTTAAATGTTTCAGACTATCAAACTAATTTTAACATAAGATAAAGACAACATTAGTAAACACAAAATGCAGCTTCTAAAAAAAAATGCAAAAAATGCAGCTTCTAATAACTGGTTATGCAACCCTTGGCAGAAACAGCTGCGATCAAACATTTGCAGTAACATTTGCGATGAGTCTTTTACTTTACTGTGGAGGAATTTTGGCCCACTCCCCTTTGCAGAATTGTATTAATTCGGCTACATTGATGGGTTTTTGACTAAAACTGCCCATTTAAGGTCTTGCCACAGCATCTCAAAGGGATTCAAGTCAGGACTTTGACTTGGTGACCCTAAAATCGTAATTTTTTTTTTACTTTTGAGCCATTCAGAGATGAACTTGCTTGTGTGCTTCAGATCATTGTCCTGCTGCATGACCTGACTGCGTTTAAGCTTTAGGTCACAAAGTGATGGGCAGACATTCTCCTTCAGGATTTTCTGATAGAGAGCAGAATTCATGGTTCCATCAATAATGACAAGTCATCCAGGTCCTGTAGAAGCACAGCCGCTTTAGACCATCACACTACCACCACCATGTTTGACTGGCGGAATGCAGTGTTAGCTTTATGCCAGATGTAACGGGACCCATGTCTTCCAAAAGGTTCCACCTTTGACCCATCAGTCCACGGAATATTATCCCAAAAGTCGTGGAAGTCATCTGGTTGTTTTTTGGCAAATGCGAGACGAGCTTTTGTGTTCTTTTTGTCAGCAATGGTCTGCGCCTTGCAGCTCTCCCAAGGATGCCAATTTTTGACCAGTGTCTTTCTTATTGTGGAATCGTGTACACTGACCTTAACTCTTAACTGAAATAATCATTTAAAAACAGCATTTTTATTTACTTGGTTTATCTTTGTCTAATATTGAAAGCAGTTTGATGATCTGAAACATTCAAGTGTGACAGTTATGCGAAAATAGAAGAAATTAGGAAGTGGGCACATACTTTTTCACAGTGCTTATTCACAATACTATTTTTTTTATTTTTTTTGGCATGTTTAGGTTTGGCTTTGTATGTGACATCTAGGATATCATGGGTGGATGGAATGCATAGATGTTGAAATGAAAACAAAGCCCTTCAAAGTGATTGAATGTAAAATGATGATTTTCTTTTTACAATGATAGTATTAGGAACCTGGGGTCACAATGTCTACAAAACAAATATTCATTTTATTCACTATCCAAAAAGACCAGGTAACCCATACGCATCTTCTGAGTGTAATGTTGGTAATGGTAAAATACTGGTAAATCTGAAACATAAATGTGTTTTAATAAGTGCATTTTAGTACAAAACCTTTTTTCTTTAAAAACTATTGTAAAGCAATGTCACAGGCATCAGACAGCATATTCCTAACCATTTTGTGCAGTAGCTCTCTGACAGAGCTTTTGGAGGCACACTTCTCTGTAAGTTTCTCTAGAACAGAACATCTCACATTTACATCTTAACAATTGAATTATGCAGAAATTTTGAAAAAATATTGGAATTCCCAAAAGCTTTGCAGTAGGGCCATTGTTGACTCAAGAACACATCTGGGAAAACATGAGCATGTTTTCCTTCTTATAAACCACATGTAAGTAATCTTACAACTGAAAGCCACACTCAAGAGTGAAATAATTTACTCTCCCAGCTATAAAAACATACCGCAGCCATTAGGAATGCTCTGCTGCATGCTCTTCTATTCCACCAGTGGGCCATCTGTAAGACTCATATCTCTGTTAATGGTGTGATATCTAGGTGGGGGGCTACCCAGGTCCTCATGGCATGCCTGCCATGCCTACTGGGATGTATCCTCCCCAGGCTGCTGGGCTGGGCCTTGACCCCCACGATGGCTGGAACCACCACAGAGCTGCTCAGGACCACCCTATGTGGAACCCCAGCTTGGAGGTGAGTGCAGACAGCAGAACACTTATTTAGTTGACTTCATGTCATGTTTATGTTCAAGTTAGATCTTAGAATTTTTCATTTGTTTTCCTTAATACAATTCTAGAGCTAATTTAAAAAAAAATCCAAAAAGGCTTAGTGTTAGTCATGTTTGTGTATTCATTGTATGTTTACAAATAACTCAGAATTGTTTGAATTGTGAGGTCAGAGATTTATACCCCTACTACATCTACAGTATAAATTGACCAAATGTGAAACAATTTGATTAGTAAATATATTATATACCTTTGTGTGTGTGTGTGTGTCAGGATGGTGGGGCATTGAGAGCAGGCATGGGGGGCCAATCTCTCCCACCTCACTTGATGGAGGAGCAGCTGATGATGCAGCAGCAGCAGATGGAGGAGGACCAGCGCTGGCTGGAGCAGGAAGAGCGCTTTATGGTACTTGGTTCACTTCTTTATTCTTTCCCCTCTTCTCTAATGCATGTACTCATTCTGCTTCCTCTGCTCTCTCACTTGCCTTGCTTTCCAGTGGTTTGTCATGTCCTCTATTTCTCTTTTTCCACTGGCTCTTCCTCCTCCAGCTGTTTCACGTCATTCTCCTCCTGGCTCCTGACTGCTCTCAGTCGTCTCCCACCAGATTTCCTAAAAAGAAAAGTGCTAGAGCTCCCTCTACCAGCTTCACTAAACCTTTTGGTTGAATGAATACGTTTTAAGACTTCTTAGATGAGAGTTGTTTTCTCAGAGATGCAGGAAAGGCATGATTTGTTTCTAGAGGAAGAAAATGATTTGTTTCTGTGTGGACCAAGTGTGACTTACTGTTCTTTTTGTCTAATTGTAAACAACTTGTAAACCAAAACCACTACTATCCAGGAACAATGTTGTACACATGGTAGTGTATCTCCTAGATATCTTTCAGGTTTTGCGGTAGACCCGGTGAAACTATGATGTTGTTTTGTGTATGTGGTGTCTTTAAATTCAGAGCATGAAATAAGCCGAAATCTGATTTCTGCAAACATTCAGGAGGAAGGGGCTTTCCTGGATTTAGTTGTTGATAAAACAGCAAGGATGAAACATTATGCTTGAGTTAATCGTTCAGTTTGCAGAAGAACTTTTATTTCTTTAAGGACCAATAAATTCTGTGATTGAAGCCTCCTATGATTGACTTAGACACTAGAAGACTTGAACTATTGTCTCTAGCTTAAGCCAGCTCATCTCTGCCTTACACTGCTATATATCACACTGAAATTTCACACTGCTGTATCAATGATTGTGTCCACTTTGGACTTCGGATCTGAAATTAGTGCTCTAATCTTTACGTTTGCCTATCACGTAAAAACTGAACCTTATGAAGCAAATGTTAGCGTGTTACATCCTCATCCATGATGGGCAGCTTGTGTCGGCTTGTTTTATGATGGGGGAAATGCTCGTAATTGGCCTTAACCTAAATGACACTAACCTTTTCATATGATTGGGCAAAAATAACATATCACAATACTTAAAAGCATTATCGTGATACACTACACATATATATATATATATTCTATCATCATATATCAAAATTCTATTTCTGTGTCAAAATGTTTATGTTCATATATATATATATATATATATATATATATATATATATATGAACATAAACATTTTGACACAGAAATAGAATTTTGACGCACAAACTAAAAACTGCCATCAAAAATTCTATGTACAGTGACATTTATTCAACATTTCACATATTGTGCTACACTAAATCCAATGAAACATGACTAATTATGCTCTCTTTGTAATGAAGCATGCAGTTGGTCAGTGTTCTTTAAGTGCTAAGTGTCCATGATATGCTCAGAAAAATATATTGTTTCTCATGATAATAATACAGATAAAATATCGTATATTGTCTACATTATTTTCTAAATGTCTATATTTTATTCACAAATTCAGCCCAATGTCAGTAACTGAGAATGCAGGTTTTATGTATAAACCTCTAGAGTTGCTATGCGTAATGTAGTTCATAATTTTTTTATGTTCTTGTGATAGCCTCCCGTTGCATAGAAGGAAGTTTTGTGCTCAGAGATGAAGAGAGAGAGCTTGTATAATGCTTGCCAAGCGGTTGTGTGAGAAAGAGTGAACGAGTGAGTGAGAGAGGGCGAGCGAGAGAGCAGGATGTGGGGTTCTGGCATGATCCCTCAGTTATTTTTACTCAACTGTCATTATCTTCAGCCTGTCTCATAGAAAGCCTCATTCTCCTTCCTGTGCCCAGCTAAAAGCAGCTCACAGCAAACAACAAAACAGGCTAAAAACCACCAACAAGCTGTGCTTCCAAAACTCATTTGAATGTTAACATTGCTGTGCATGTACACATAAACTGTGCGGATTTTTAATTAGAGATGCAGCATATTGTGTTGGGATGACTGAGTTTGGTTTTGTATACAGTATATCAGTGCGTATGGTACAGGTGCAGTTTTGGAGAATTCTTCAGTAATGAGGGGGTTGTGTTTGCACTGATGCGTGAAGCAGCTAAACTCACCCTGACCTGCCACTGATGAAAGTTAAATTGCTATGGCTAGGAGGGATTTTTTCCCCCGTTACCCTGCATCTCTTAAATGCTGGGGAAATGGTGGGCACATGCCAGCGGGCAGGGCTAACGAAACGAAGAGGAGACATAAGAAAGAAGGAAGGGACACAAAGAAAGAGGGAGGAGAGATAGGACGGCAGACTGAGAAAAAGAGAAAGACGGAGGTAGAGAAAGAAAGATGAGAGGGGAAGAACAGGAGGGAGGAGAGAAGGGCGAGGGGAAAGAGTTGGTGTAGCTAAGTTGAGGCTCGTTCAGCGCGAGTGACTCAGAGTGGGTGCATGCATGCCTCACCACAGGAGCCTCCTCTCAGCGCACACTTTTTCTGTGAATGGAGCTACACTGTGCTCTCTTCTGCATACTTACAGCGCTCTAGAAAGAACCGTGAAGGAAGAGCCCGTAGGATGCAGGTCTTCAAGTCCTGCTTTGGGAAACTGGTACAGTGGTGGGAAGGGATGGGTTTCTAAATGCTCCTGACAGCTGATTTGTTTGGTCTTCTCTAGTGCTAATGCGTTTTGTTTTAGACAGTTTTGTTAGTGTTAACATGACCATTTAACTGTAGCTACTTATCTCTGTGTTTGTGGACAGGGATATGCTAAGCCAAGTGTCATTTTTAACATGCTGTGGTTACTTAAGCATTTCTGTTTTGACTTAGTGAAATGTCCTCTTTGTGTATGACATGTACGTATAATGTATTGTGGCTCTGTCACATTTTTGGTGATTTAATTGTTTTCTGTCATGTCCAATTTTGCACTTGGTTTTTCTTGTTGTGCTGATGCTCCTAACAAGGGCATGTAACAGCCCTGAAAATACTAAAAAAGTTCTAGAGATATTAGTCTTCACTAAAGATTTATGCTCTGGTTTCCCCTGTCTCAGAAACCAGACTTGAGGAATTCCAGAGGGAGTATAGACCGAGAGGACTGCACTCTCCAGGGACCGGTGAGTTTCTGTTTGTATGTTTGTTTTCCAGGATGGACTTCCTCGTTTTTCAATAATAAACAATTCTTTGTACATTATTCGCATTCACATAAACATGCAGATATTCATGATTAGACATTATTAACCTCAGCTTCCTTCACATTTCCTTTAATGGAGGGACCCTGGAAGAACTGCATGCATTTTTTGATAATAGTGGCTTTTTCAGTACTGAATGAAATCTGAAAAGAGTTTCTTCCCACATGTGTTGTGTTTACTGAAACAACAAATGTGGACTCTGCTGAACGCTACCAACATTAATGCTGTTTTGTTACTGCTGGCTGCCGGAGGCAGTGCAAAGTACAGTGGATATTTCTGAATCTCCAACACTTGATCTCATATGAGATTTTATACCAGCAGAGTCACTCTTTTTGTATTCTCACTGTGGCACAGGTTGGCCGCTTGGATTGCTTGTATACAGCTCACTCACTCACTCTGTTTTCACCTCATGACCCTATGTTTGACTGAACTTATTCCCAGACTGAAACACTTGCTTTTAGATACTCTTCTGAAACGGTGTCATCTAAAAGCAGTTTACTGAAGATAATAAATGAAGCTGTTTTTTCCTCATTTTCCCAAACTCTGCATAGCTATTGGTAGCTACAGCATTGAACTGCAGTTAGCTATGGCTTTTCCCAGTTGCTTTCCAGCCACAGCACAGAAGCTAATTATTATTCTCTTGGCTCAATTTGTGGCTGTGGGGGGGCTGTAACTGGCTTTCCACCACTTCCCACGCCTTAACTCAGAAGTGCTGCTTCTCAAGTCTGATAGGATCTGCAACACCTAACTATGCCTTGTAGAGCTACTGCTGCCTTTCCCTTGGCTTGCTGTGCCTCAGCAACAAAGCTAATCAGTGATATTTTTTGTGGTATTTTCTGTTGTTGGGTTTATGGTGCTCCGCATGGGCCTGTTCCACTGTTACCACTCCTACAAATTCACACCCTAAGGCACCAGCTCAGCAGGATGTAACTCTGTTTGGCACTGGCTGCAGTGTATTCACTCCCCAACTTCATCACAGTTTCTTGTGAAGCTTACCCACTTCTGCCATGCGCTTCATTGTATGGATTCACATACCAAAAGAATGCTTCCTCTGCTATGTCCAGTAGAGTAGCTACTTTGCACTAACCACTAGAACTAGAATGCTTTTCCTTCGACCCTCAGTTTGCCAGCTAACATGGATTAATTGAATGAGCTAGCTACTATCTGGGAGTCTTTCTTTTCTTACTCTTGACCTGGTGCATCGACTAGAATGCTAGTATATTGCCTTATGACTAGTATATTGCCTTATGCCTTATGGAGTTACAGACTGCAGTTCGTTGCTCTTACAAATACCTGAGTGGTTTCTCAGATGAGAGGATTAACCTGTACTACCTGAATGGAGAAAACAAAATGGATGAGACCTTAGTGAAGACCTGTGACATGGGTGTATGCTTGGGGCACACAGAGGACTCCATTCTTATTACTGTCTGCTTTGGTTTCTTTGTTGAAATTTGTAAGTGTCTGCTGGAGTTGCCTACCTTCAGGCATTAGGGTATTTTGATTAGTAATGTAATAATCTTTTAAAAACACAGAGTCTGGTCTTGACAGACACAAGGGGTCACATCTTAGCAGACTTTTTGTGTAGTCTGCCCCTTTAATCTGCTCTTACAAGCAAGCTGAAAGTGTACTTCACTGAACAGCACCTTTCACCTACTGAATATCGCAGATAAACCTGTTTGTGAACCACTATGTATGTGATGAAGAAATATATCCTGGGCAGTGATGAAAGATGTTTCACTGGTAAATGTCTGTGCAGAAGCTGCTTGGTACTCTTTGCACATTCTCTTCTCCTCACACAGTGAGCTCTGTGGTGTTGCTTGGGGATACCTCAGTTTCACTTCCAAAGTGATGGGAACGAAATGAAATGGAATAGCTGTTCTGTTGGAGTTCCTAATGACCGCTGGTTTATTCTCAGGGGATGTTTTATGCGTGGGCAGGATATTACTCATATCATGCCCCTTTCACTTTGTTGTTCTAAGATCTTGACCTATGCACAAGTGTGTGTGAAAGTATCCACTGTGGTTTACACCACTTCATCTGAAATTCATAAAGCCACATTTGTGTTGGTAACTAGTGTTAAATTTAGTATTGAAATCTGTCAGACCTTACTCATAGTCATCCTCTTACTCATACCTTACACCAAACGAAATAAGGAAATTACTTTGGCCATGTCCATTAACTGCTCTCACTGTTTAAATGAATATTCAACTATGGAAACATCATTTACGTCTAACACATTATTACAATAAGGGTTGGAATCACCATCTCATCAGTGCTACAGTATGCATAACAAGTGATATAAAACTGTAGAAGAATCTAAGGAAAAAATATTTACCTAAAATGGCTGGTTTCCCAAAAACATCTTGGCTCAAAGATGGCTCTTGAATTGTAGAGCAAGCATTACACCAAACGCTCTGTCTCCCGGTTAAGATGAGCTTAGCACTAGTTTGTTTGTTTGTTTGTTTGTTGTGTTACTGTTTTGCTGATGTGGACCATGCCACTGCAGCCCTCCTCTTGCTGGCTTGAGGCTTGGACCGAGATTTCTTTAAAGCTGCTTTGTGACGATGCCTGTTGTAAAAAATACTACACAAATAAATTTAAATTGTAGAATTTCACTGTATTTTCTCAGCTAATGGTGTTTCTGCCTGTGATGTTGCAGTGTTGAATATAGGAACAAGAAACATATACATTAAAAATGAATATTGTTGATTATTTTATAAAGCTGAAAGGTGCAGTTTGTTTTAATTTTTTGTACATTTTGTTCATTAGGTATTGGTGCCGGACATGAGTGGCCGAGAAATGTATTTATTTATTGGGAGGGGGCTGAGTGGCAGTTGGTATTTGCGGTATGGGTGTTTCCTTTGTGGGTTTTTATTCATTATTTCCTGTTTTGGTGCTGTTGAATTGTAGAATAGACTGGATCTAAAACACTTAAATATCATTTGAATACTTACGATAAATTCCAAAGTTTTGAAGTGTCATTGAGAGAAAACATATACAAACAATTTTAGCCTAGAGTGTTGCCTAAACAAGTTCTAAGTGGGGTAATTTAACCTAATAACACTGAGCTTGTGAACCGCCTGTAGATGAGGTTCCTATCAGTCTAACTGACTTTTCAGTGTTTAAGCTTCAAGCCAGAAAGAAATAGATGTGCTGGTCATCTTGACCACATGCATGGACCTTAATTTATAGAATATAACCGCAATTTAAATTGTAGTTATTGCAATATTATTCAGAAAAAACAAATTAGATTAAATAGATTTTTGCTAAACTGTTTTGCTCATATTTGTTCATTCTGTTCTTGCGTCTCAAGGACATTGTAGATTTATTTTTAAGAATAAATTATGGAATTTTTGCTCAGCAGCAGATTTGGAATACATGGCACATAGAGAAATGCAGCTGAAAACTTGCCTCATTGTACTGGTTTGGTAGAAAAGCAGTACTCCTTTTTGTACATGCCTGCTGGGCTGGTCCAGTCTGTCCTTTTGGGCTCTCTTTTTTGATACTGTGTGGTGTGGTCAGATGTATGTTTGTGTTTATGTGTAGGCATCTCAGGCATTTGGCTTGTTCCCCACCCAGACCACAACAACACAGCTGGAGATGCTACACTGGAGTTACTTCAAAATTTTTCACTGACTGATGGTATTTTTGTTTATTTCTGCAGCCAGGAAACCAGCACATCTACCAGCCTGTGGGGAAAACAGGTAAATCTCCATCTCTCAGCTCATGGTCATAGTTGCTTCAGAGCAATTTACACTCCTTTTTTTTCTTTTTTTTTCTTTTTTTTTAAGAACAAAAAAAGTGTGAAATGACTCATGTTTGTGATGTTATTTTTTGCTTAGAGTAATTGTTTCCACTCACTAGAAGCCTTCAGTTTTAGCCCTGAAAGCACATGTTTGTATATCATTATAGTAACATCTTGTCCAGGCTATGTATTTCGGCAGTGTTTTTGATTTTTATGATAAGTCTGTTTGCCAATGAACTTTTTCCTCAGATCATGCTGTTCCTCCTAAGAAGCCTCCTCGACCTGGAGCCCCCACCCATCCAGCCAGTGCCGCCTGCCTCAACCCTGCTGACAGCTACAATGATGGAGTCAAGGTACGGGAACACACTGCTGGACACAGGCCTAACCTGCATCCTGTCGTCATTATGCACCATGTGAAAGAATAGTTTTTGTGTTCTGGTAGTCTGTGCTGTGTTCAGAGTTTATAAAAGCATGATACCTTTTCTTTTTGCTCACCACTGTGGTTATAGCATGCTAATAATGTTGTTCACTGCTTTTTAAAATACTTCTACAAACGCACACAAGTCCAAGTATCATGTATATTTGTAGTGTTTATGCCATGCAGGCTATATTGTGTCTCCATGGATTATACTGTAACACAAGGGGGATCAAGATAGCATAGCAGAAGACTCAGTATTTCCAAGTGAAACATTTTTAGGCTGAAAATCCCCTTACAACGTACGCACATGCAAGCTTTAGCCTCTGTCCACTAATGGGGATTTCCATTTAACTACAAATACTATAGCTAAATTCTATTATGTCTGCAGTTAAAGTCCTAACTTTAGCTTGGGGATGGGCAGTATGATGATATTTATCATTATCTTATCATATGACAGCACATTATGCTGCAGTATGCTTTTCTAGGCGTTTATGGATATTCTCAGTACTTAAAGAACACTTATCAGCTGCATATTCCATTACAAAGAGAGCATAATTAGTCCTGTTTAATTGGATTTAGTGCAGTGCAGTTTGTAAAACATTGAATAAAAATCATTATATTATTTTTGCTCTACTGATGCTTTTTTCTGTTCCAACATATCAAACCTCAGAAAAACTAAATATAATGATGCATATTGTGTATCAAGAAAATGCTTGAAGTATCATATTAGTTTTTTGTCATATTGCCCATCCCTACTCTGATTTTAGAGGCCAATAGAAATTATTTCTAAAAGTCTAAATTGCAAATTTTTAAAAAAATTATTTTTATTATAAAGAAACTTACTCATGCACATACACCACAGGTGAGAGAGGCCCCTGCACACAACACAAATCCAAAAATGGGGGGAATTTTTAAATGCTAACAAAGCTCCAGACAGAATGCAGTATCTGACTTATCAAGCCAGTATGCCATTAGACCTTCACCCAGATGTGTCTTCTTGCTAGTGCTAAGTCAGAATGGAGCATGTTTTGTGGTGGATTAGTTGGATGTAATGATGCTTGGGATGGCGATGAAAGTTGCCTGAGAAAGGCCATGCCTTGGCTCAGCCAGTCAGATGCCATGTTCTATGTGAAGCTTTATGACTGTTAACAAGCTTTGCCCTGCAGATCCTATAAGAAGTTTTGCAAACTGGATCGTGCATGCATTGAAAATAGAAATGCCATCATACACAAAGTACAGACAGTTGAGCGAAGGCATGTAAACAGACCTGGAACTGAATCTGCTGAGCTGAATTCATTGACTGTTAAAGCAATATTTAATACCTCCCTATCTGCCTATCTATTATCAACATATGAGGAAATGATGCATGTATATGTATCACTTGTACATTAATTCCTCTGTCGCTCTCTCCCTTTCTCTCTGTATCTTTCACTCTCGTTCACTTTCTGCCTCACTGTTTTGCATCTCTAGCCCTGGAGGGTAAGAACACTGAGTGGATTCTGTCTGTCCCCCTGTCTGCATGTCTGTCAACTTTCAGAATAGAAGCACACCATTCTGACTGCTTTAAATATTACTATTCAGCAGTATAACTCCCAACTATCAAATCCACATCAGTTCATCACAATTCCTGAAGTTGACAGATGGTTTATAGAGTGTTCTAACTGTTGTCTCTTGTCTGAGTGGTCAGAATCGCTATGTTGATGGGAGCCTGTTGTCTTTTGAGTGGAGGTGATCATTAAACTTTGGATACAAGAGCTTACTAATTATCATCAGGATGTTCTCTGGGTTTTCTTCTAGTGACTAACCAACAGCCTCTTGTCTTTTATTTTTTTTTTTGTTTGTTTTAAACAAACCTGTGTGGTGTGAAGATGGGGTTATAACTATAGCTCGCTGTGTGTGAAATTTCAGCACAGCCCAGATTTCCTTCTAGTAAGACCTTATTTTATTGAGTGTTACGGCAGTTCATTAGAAATTTCTACGTATTAGTCCACACTTAAGTCTTCTATAGTGCTAATCTTTGGTTGGTTGATAATTTACAGGAATTTCTAACCATATACATATGAAGTGGTGAATTTTTTTTTTTTTCTGTAGTATACTGCCACCTGTTACCGAAAATCTGAAATGACAGTCACAATAAAATATTTTCAGCTTACCACAAAGCAGGCAATGAGAGTAGACAATAATAACTATAGACAGTAATAACATTTTTGTCAGACGTACAAGACCATTGCATACTAGGTTTTATTGTGTATTGTAATTGTTTTTTGTTTCTTTTTTTCTATCTTAATTCAGATCCAGCCTCAGGAGATTAGCTCTCCCCCTACAGCTAACTTGGACCGCTCCAATGATAAAGTCTATGAGAATGTGACTGGGCTTGTGAAGGCTGTGATTGAGATGTCCAGTAAAATCCAGCCAGCTCCCCCTGAGGAGTATGTGCCAATGGTGAAGGTATGATGCAAATGTGCACACCTCACTCACTACATTTACTCAAAAGATATTGTTATTGTTCAGTGTTTATTATATATCAAAGTTAATGTTGCATTTCAGAGTCTTTCAAGGTCGATTAAGGTGCTTAAATTGTTAAGGAACTTTGTCAAAGTGGTCAGTGTAATTGCAGTTGTTTTTATTTGGAGTCTCTAAATGAAAATATTGAACCAGTTCTGACATGAGTCATTATGAAAAGTTTTGCTTTGAAATTGAAAAAGAAATATGTCTTAAGCAAAGTGTTTTTGTAAAAATGAAGACAGTTTTTTTAAACAGTCATTTGGAAATGAAATGAAAATTCCATAATCATGTTGAATGAGCGAATCATGACATCCAATTTCATCATAGTGTAATTTTTTGAAACAGAATAATTTGTTTATTTAGTGTTTATCATTTCACTCTGAAGGACTTGTCCTTCAGATGTTTAATAATAATAATAAATCTGTACGTAAATGTCTGGCATATTATGTTCTTGTTGCCATGTGACGTAAGTGAAGTGTTAAAATGATTTGTTTTTTAGGAGGTGGGTTTAGCACTGAGGAATCTACTGGCCACAGTGGATGAGACAATTCCCTTACTGCCTGCTCACACACACCGAGAGGTACTAGTGATTATTAATTACTTATAACACACTTAAACATCATTGCCATAACTCTCACATCAAGGCAGTGTTCCTGTACACTGAGATTGTTAGATTCAAATAATTTCATGGTGAGAAGTACATACTGATATTGCTCCCTGTTTCTGGTACCCACTATTGCATCATTTATGGGTATTTTCCTGTTGCTAGTACTTGCTAATTGTATTGGTCATTAATATTTGTTTCTAGTATCTGCTATTGTATTGCTTGTTTGCCTGTTTGTATTACTTACTTTGGTATGAATATTTGTTTTTAGTATTTATTTTTTGGCTTGTGTGTGTTTCTAGTACCCACTACTGCATTGTTCATGAGTACATATCTGTTTCTAGTACCTACTATTGTATTGCTTATGAGAATTTGTTTCTGTTACTCTGTTGCATTGCTTATGAATGTTTACCTACCTCATGCTCTTTAGGTGGAGATGGCTCAGAAGCTGCTCAACTCTGACCTGGCTGAGCTGATTAATAAAATGAAGCTTGCCCAACAGTATGTGATGACCAGTCTCCAGCAGGACTATAAAAAGCAGATGCTGACGGCTGCCCATGCGCTGGCTGTGGATGCTAAGAACCTGCTGGATGTGATTGACCAGGCCAGGTTGAAGATGCTGGGCCAGGCACGGCCGCACTAGCCCCCGGGCCTCGGCTTGGTTTCCCCACCCCCCACAGCATGGAGGGGCTTCTGCTGGACTGAAGCGTGCCCGCAGCAGGCAGACGCCCTACTACTCACCAGCACGGACTTCTGTACCAGAAATCACAGTACACTCACAGGCTCCATGCTCTCACTCTAGCTTACCTCCAGACGCCAGGGGCCTCTGAAGAGCTCAGCAGGGTTTTATTTAAAGGAGCAGCTGGATCGATTATGCCAGCGCTGCCAAGAGCGCTCAAGATGGGGTCTGTCTGGGACTGCTGTATTGTACTATGAGGAGAAGGCCTAAACTGATGAAATGCCACTGGAACGGAAATCCCGAGCTGTTGTACAGGTCTCTGGAGGACAGAAGACATCTTCACACTGTATCTACAATTTCTGTATCTCATTGGCAAGTCTCTGCTCCACAGTTAGACTGAACAGAATATAGAAACACCATGACATTGGCTCTAGAACACCAGAGATACATAACTTTGTCAGTTTCTCTGTGTTCGTCTGGATGTGGAGCAAGGGCTTCATGTGCCTCTCCAGGACTCAGAAGGAGAGGGTTGTACATTTTGGCCATGTGCCACCTAGGATTAAAATAAAGCTATGACTGAAATAAAAAAGAGTCAGAGTATCTGTCTATTCATATGTACAGCAATTTTGAGTAGTGTATTTACTGAAGCTTTCATATTAAGGATGGGTGATATGGGGAACATATAACATCATGATATTTGACGTTTTCACTACGTTTTTCATGATATTTAGTTTATTTGAGATTTGTGAACAAATTAAAAATGAACCAGCAAAAGAGTAGTGTGCCATTTCAAAAGGCTGTGAAGTACAGAGCTTTTATTTTAATTGAGTGTTGGCAGAAATAAACTATTTAAGCAGTAAAACACTTCAAACAACTGGTAAAAATAAATCAATAAAATAAAACAATGGCATAGTAGGTCAACCTAATCAGCTACTTGTTACTGTGGGGTTTATGCTGTTGCTATAAGCTGGTTGTTTACAGACTCTCTATATTTGGTCTAAATATAAAAATCTTTCTTTTTTTTATGATGCCTGCTGTTCTTACTGACAAAATCCAGAATACATTCATAAAAGTGAAGTGTGATTTACACTACTGCTCAGAAGTTTTAGAACACACCCATTTTTTCAGGTTTATGGATATTTATGTAGTTTAATGTCTCAATGTATTTTGAAATTAAAGCATAGGAAAAAAACAACTGGACATAAAAATTTTATCTATGGTTTTGGCTCAAAAAAGTAGCCATCATTGCAATGGCAATATACTACATCCTGAAGTGCAATACTGTCTAAATACTGCCCTAGAGGGTGTAGTATCTCAAGTCTGTTAAAACTCCGTTTCGGGTTATCAAGGAAAGTAATGGACAAAACACCTGTAGGAATTGTTAACATAAACTAACAGCTGTAAGTTGTTAACTAATAAAAAATAACTGAAAAAGGCCTTTTTATAACGATATTCAACGATTTATATAACGATTTTCAGTTTATTGTTCAGGGCTTTTTAACCTTCGGCAGTTTACCACTTACCTTTGTACCATTTCAGGTTACTGGACTTCAACTGCTTATATCAGTAAAACTGTAAAAATGGTGGTGTTCTAAAATATTTGACCAATTGCGTAATTTTGTCATATCGCCCACCCTCACTTCACATTCACTGTAGTACAACGCTTCAGACATCTGGTTCTTATCACTGTGAACAATTCTGACCTAGCAAGTTTCTTTAGAACGAAGCGATTCATATCAAACCACTGAATGATTTCAGTTACATCTAAATGATTTAATTATGCAGTAATTTTAAAAATTTAAAAACTGTTGGTCGTACCTAATCAGTAATGTGCGAGCTGTTATTTCGAATGTACCGCCTATCTTTCTCTGCTGTTCACAAATTTCAAAATTAAGATGAATTCTCATGCCAGTGTTCTCTTTAAATCACTGCATAGTTGGGCTTCGTGACGTTCTTGTCCGTCTAAGGTGACAATCCTTAAACAGAACTAACCTAATACCTACTGATGAAGTGTTTCATTTTACATCCTTTTCTAAGAGTGCACTGCTAAAATATATCAGCATTAGCATAACTTAATTACCAACACTGGCAGTCCTGTCGCTCACGCACCCCTCAAGTTTTTCCCTTTACTGCTGCATCAGTAAAGCAGAGAGAATCTACTTTTTTGGGGTAAAGGAAATCACGTTTAACCAGACAGAGCCTGACCTGTTCGCTACACTAGTACTGAAGATGCTCTGCTACAGAAGAGAACACAGTCCTGGTTGCTAGTTATATAATGACTAAACCTATTTGGACACGTTTTGAGGTGAACAGTTTTCTCCACGTAATGAGAGCTGTTAATCTCTATAACTGAGAGAGGTGTATTCAGAAATTAATACGCAATTATGGTAACTCGGGGAAGAAGCCCCCCCAGGGGCAGATTTTTATTTTCTATCCTGATCAAATGCTGAGGGCCAATATTATCCAAGCACATTTACTGAGTGTGTATTCTCTAATACTGAAATTTCATCTGGATAACTGCATTCCTGGGATTTATTCCCCTGGATTTTTTTTTTCCTGAAATTACATGCAATGTAATATGACAAAAATTAATTTAAATAAGATCATTTGAACATTGGTTCTGATGAATGTAAAGGTAAGAAATGAGTTGACATTTAAATTACACATCCTACAAAAATCGGATTTGCAGTCCAACTTGTTTGTTGGTTTATGCTTCATTGTCATGTACATACACTATATAGACAAAAGTATTGGGACACCCCTCCAAATTATTGAGTTCAGATGTTTCATCCACACTCAATGCTATCAAGTGTATAAAATTAAGCACATAGCCTTGCAGTCTCGATAGACAAACACTGGCAGTAGAATGGGTCGTACTGATGAGCTCTGTGACTTTAAACATGGCACTGTCATAGATTCCACCTCTGCCACAGCTTAGCCACGACTCGGTAGACCAAACAAACTCACAGAGTGGGGTCGGCGGCTGCTGAAGCGCACAGTGTCTATTCTCTGTTGAACCACTCACTTTGTACATTGCCTCTGGAAGCAACATCAGCAAAAGAGCTGCACGTTAGGAGCTTCACGAAATGGGTTTTCAAGGCTGAGCAGCTGCACACAAACATAAGATAAAAATGCACAATGCCAGATTACCTGCCTGACTGCATTGTGCCAACTGTAAAGTTTGGTGGAGGAGGGAAAAAAAGCGGTGGGGTTGTTTTTCAGGGGTTGGTTTGGGCCCCTTAGTTCCAGTGAAGGGAATCTTAATGCTTCAGCAGACCAAGACATTTTGGACAATTGTATGCTTCCGACTTTGTGAGAACAGTTTGGGGAAGACCCTTTTCTGTTCCAGCATGACTGTGTCCCAGTGCCCAAAGCAAGGTCCATAAAGGCACGGCTGGGTGAGTTTAGTGTGGAAGAGCTTGACTGGCCTGCACAGAACCCTGACCCCAACCCCATCAAACACCGCTGGGTTGAACTAGAACGGAGATCGCGAGCCAGGCCCTCTCGTCCAGCATCAGTGTCTGACCTCACAAATGCTCTTCTGGATGAATGGACAAAAAATTCCCACAGACACTCCAAAATATTATAGAAAGCTTCCCAGAAGAGTGGAAGATGTTATACCCTGACCAACTCCATATTAACGCCTATGGATTCAGAATGGGACGTCATAAAAGCTCCTGTAGGTGTGATGTGTAGGTGTCCCAATACTTCTGTTCAAGTAGTGTTTATGAAGGATTTCGTTCCAAAACATATTATAGACAACATTCAGGATTTTTTTTTTCATACGTTGGAAGTGGGCTTTACACATACAGTAAAATCAGTGCTATGCTGTAATTAATACTACCTTTATTAGAGAAATAAAATGCATTTTCCAATATACATCAGCTGTTATTCTCAGAAACGCCTTATATCCAAAGTATGGGGGGGGCAAATAACTAGCAAATAAATGAAATATACCAAACTGTCACTAGAGGGCAGCATATAACCTCTCAACATACTTCCGTAAACTTACCACGGTCCATAAACTTAAAGACTAAAACATGATTAATATTGTCCGTGTTTTAGAAACACGTTATACACAAAACATACGGAAAACAATTGCCAACAACGTTGAAAGGGTTAATAGACTTCCGATATACTGTTAACTGTTTACCGCATTCATTGCCTCTTTATAACAGCTCCCGACCTGAAACATTAATGAACATGTCCGCTACACCGCGTGTGATATTTAAAGTGTTCGCTTAATAAATTTCAGTCCGGACTTTTACTCTGAAGAGTTGTGAGCCGTCCGCCATAGATCTGCCTTCTCATGGCTCTGTGCCCCGCTTATTTTTTTCTTTTCCTTTTTTTCTGTTTCCACCCCCCACCCCGCCGTGTCGTGTCTGGCAGTGAAATCCAGGTCATCTCCGCTGGATCATCACAAAGCCAGCAGCGGTGGCGGACAGACTCTTCTCCGCAGACGCAACCGAATCGCGATTGTGTGATTATCTCACTCTTTTTAGAGGTAAGTCAACAGCATTTCTCCATGGCTAGCTTGTTGTTTCAGGGTGAATTAGATACGTACTCGTGTTATTTAGTCCTGAAGCGGTGCTGATATGTGGTGATGATGTGAATATGAGGAGCTGCCTCAGACGGGCTGAAAAGTTAATGGCACCGTCTTACTTTTCCATCTAACCGCTGGTTAGCCAGAAAGCTAACTAACCGCTATCGATGCTCCACGGCCGGGAGTGGAGACAGACAGACAGGCTCAGTTTGGCTGTGTGAAGGGCCATAAATCTGTCTAGCCTTGTTGCAAGTCGTGTTTAACGGTTTCTTTTCAATCAAGAAATGCGCATATAAGTAGCTACCTAGCAATCCTAGCTAACTTATTCGGTACTAGCAAGAATCTAAGTGAGCTAACGTTAAGCTAAAAATAATCTCTGAAGTCTTTAGCAAAACACTCTGTTGTCGTTCTTGTTACTGTACGGTTTCTGTTTTCTTTCCTCGCCAGCTGAACAGCTGAAACAGTTAGTTAGCTAGCTGACTAGCTGCCTTCGTAGCTTATAAAATGTTTGGTATTTGTTATGGATGGACAAACCGAGACGAATAACCAAATATGTAACTTGACTGGCAAGAATGCTGCTGCTGAACCAAAAATGTCGCTGGTATATAGTTAGTAAGTTATTTGAGCTAGCTCGCTAAACCCTGTTAGCTCGCTCTACTTGGGATTTTCTTCAGCAGTTTGCAGACGTCACAGCAATAAATCGTTAGAAAAATTGCATGCAACATAAAAAAAACTCATGTTGTTATCAGCTAATGAGACTTTACTTTGCTAAACTAGTGTGCCGTATGGTGTTGGTGTGGTCTGGCGCAATGAACTTGAACTTGATCAAAATCAGCTTTACAGACTGTGTTTGGTGGCTAGCTTGATAAATCATGTGGTCCTTAATGATGGCATAATTAAAGATTAATTTCTTGATAGTTCAGTAGTAATTCGTATGTGTTGTGTTGAAGACCTCTTCTCCGCTGACCCCTTCCTTCCAGTCGTGTCCACTGATGGCTCTCTCAGGCTCACACCTCAGGGGTCCCTTTGCCTGCCGGTGTGTAACC